GTATATTTAATTTTAACATTGTCAATTTTCATTGTAAATTTAGTTCATTTTAACATTTGTTTTATTTATACATCAGTCACATTCACATGACAACAATGTACTTTGAGAAAAATTGTAACAAAAGCAGATTTTGGGTGAACTTTATGGGATGGTAGATTTCATATTAAAGGATCATAGACTTATTTTGGACATATTTGAAGTCCACTTATTCATTCATTCATTCATTCATTCATTTTCCTTTTGCTTAGTCCCTTTATTAATCAGGGGTCGCCTCAGCAGAATGTACCGCAAACTTATCCAGCATATCTTTTATGCAGTGGATGCCCTTCCAGCCGCAAACTTGTACTGGGAAACACCCATACACTCTTGCACACACATACACTGTGGCCAATTTAGTTTATTCAACTGACCTACAGTGTATCACATGTCTATGAACATTGGAGGAAACCCACACGAACACAGGGAAAACATGTAAACTCCTCATAGAATTGCCAAGAGACCCAACCGAGGCTTGAACCAGCGACCTTTTTGCTGTAAGGCGACAGTGCTAACCACTGAGCCACCATGTCACTCCATTTCCACTTATGATGTAACAATATTTCATATATTAACATTATTATTTAGACCTTATAATTTCTTGATTTAACCCCATCAGAACACACTGTTTTAATAGGTGCGGCAGATTGTAAACTCACACTGCCCTAACAACACGCTACGCTGTGATGCCACACACAATAAAAGCGATCTTTTAACGCTTTAACTATACCCACCAAGAAAAATGTTTGGATTGCATTTCTTAACTCCTAATGTCACTAGTTAACACACAATGCATTTTTTAACACATCCCATAATTTCTAAAATATCAACCTCTACCAAATGGTTCAAATGTTGGTTTATGGTATAAGTACTGCAATTAATACATATACTATGAAAAATCTGAAAATATGAAGTGTAATACCAATGTATTTAAAAAACTATTCAAAATAAAACATTTATGAACACTAAATCACTTTTTTGAGTATGTCAGAAAATACTTAAGATTCTCATTTATCATGTTGTTTGTTTGATTTTTTACAATAAAACCAAAATCAAGTGTAATAGTGCAACAGGATGTCTTTTTGATATATATTTTTTGGTAAACCAACAATGCCGTGTGTGTAAACCATTAATTAAAACAGTCATTTCTTTAAAACAATAAAAACATGGTCAACCATTTGGTAGAGCGGCAGTCAAAGGGTTAGTCAAAAAGAGTTTTTGTCATAACCATCAGTTTCTATATCTGTGACGTCATATTTGAAGCCTAAAAGCAATACTTAATGTTACAGTATAAAGTACTCCATTGTCTACCATGCCCACAAGAGGGCGCAAGCGAGCAAAAAAAGCAATAGAAACTAGATTAAATGCATCAAATCTTTTATTAAAATGAAATGACACTCACTTTTTAAAGTACATAAACTTTTAAACAACTGTTCTTAAATAAAACACATTTTTATTCATGTGCTTGTAAGAGAAATTGGGATTTAAGAGTAAGAGTCATCTATACCCCCCCCCCCAAACAAACACACTTTAACAGACAGTGTAATGCATGACATACAGTAAATAGAAAATAGCAATCTGCTGTGCAGAATCAAGCTGCTCACAGTCACTGCATATACATAGTTTGTCAAAAACATAGAGATTACTACAAATCTATCTAATGTAAAACAAATAAAGTATGTTTACAGCATAAAATGAGTGTGAAACCTAGGCTACTAATATTACTAAAAATATATATTAATATGTCTGAGATTTTTTCTGTATAGTGCAAAAAAATAAAAAATTATATATATATATATATATATATATATATATATATATATATATATATATATATATATATATATATATATATATATATATATATATATATACAGTTGAAGTGAGAATTATTAGCCCCCTTTCGATTTTTTGTTACTTTTTTAAATATTTCCCAAATGATGTTTAACAGAGTAAGGAAATTTTGACAGTATGTCTGATAATATTTTTTCTTCTGGAAAAAGTCTTATTTGTTTTATTTCGACTAGAATAAAAGCAGTTATTAATTTTTGAAAAAACATTTTTGGGACAAAGTTATTAGCCCCTTTAAGCTATTTTTTTTCGATAATCTACAGAACAAACCATCATTATACAATAACTTGCCTAATTACCTTAACCTGCCTAGTTCACCTTATTAACCTAGTTAAGCCTTAAATGTCACTTTAAGCTGTATAGAAGTGTTTTGAAAAATATCAAGTAAAATATTATTTACTGTCATCATGGCAAAGATAAAAGGAATCAGTTTTTGGAAATGAATTTTTAAAACTATTATGCTTAGAAATGTGCTGTAACAATCTTCCCTCCATTAAACAGAAACTGGGGAAAAAAATAAATAAGGGTGCTAATAATTCTGGGGGGGCTAATAATTCTGACTTCAACTGTATATATACTTGCATTTTCTATTATTTCTGTTTTACAAATAAAGTCTAGACCAACTAGACAACTAACTGGATATAACTCAAGAAATAACTCATAATAAAACAGCACAAGTCAACAAAAACAAACCACATCAGTTACGTCAACAACATGTCTTGCGCCTCTTGACACACTAAAAATCTAAATGCAGGTTTTTGCATTCGAATGTGTTTTCTTTTTTTTTTTTTTCAAATTAATTCTTCTAGGACCCTTCAAACTGTTAAACCTCACTGATTGAAGCATTGGTGGTGTTGAGACAGTCAGTCCTATAATAATCTATTTTGTTTCAACTAGGCAAGCTTTTGCGAGGAGTACCTCATCAGTCCAGGGTTTAGTGGCTGTTATGATGTGATGGACATGAGAATATTTCAGAAAGCCTGTGTGAGCGACCTGTGTCAATGTTATGGCAACCATGACTGTCTGTGCAACACACTAACAGAGATCTCACGACAATGCACACATGCTGGAGGACAACCAGGAACATGGAGAACAGAACAGCTCTGTCGTGAGTATCTTTTCTGGAAGATGACATTCATCAGAAGCCATTCAAATGATGTGCAATGTATTTATTGATTTCAGTGTACAAAGCCTAAATGAACAATAAAAAAACATTCATTATCTACCAATAATGATGCAGAGAAAAATAAATCTTAAGGGATATAATTTTACTATGCTGTTTTTTTTTTTTTTTTTCCCAGGAAACAATTTTAATAACAATTACATTAACAATTACTATTCCAGAAATTAATACTATGAATAAACAAAAATAAATAAAGCTTTTAAAGTAGACACAAAATATATGTTAGTTTTTAAAGGGATAGTGTAATTTACTGAAATTTTACTTACCCTCAAGTGGTTCCACAACATTTTTTGTTCAAGATATTTTAAAGAATGTTAGAAATTGGTAACCATTGACATCCATAGTAAGAAAACATACAACGGAAGTTAAGGGTTACCTTGCTGGTTTCCAACAATTTTTAAAATATCTGTGACAAGTAAAGTGTGAGTAAATAATGACATCATTTTGGTAACAATTTATTTTCATGGTCCATTTGAGTATTAGTAGACTGTTTACTTAATATCTGTTGATTCTGCTGCTAAACAGACATTTATCTGACTATAAGAAACTTTGCAAGTGCATGTCAACTTACTCTAACCCTAACCCCAACCTAACTATCTACTTATAATCTAATGAGATGGCATGTTGATGCAGTGTAACTTAAATTTAACAAATGGACAATCAAAATAAAGTGTGACCAAAATGTTTGGTTTTGAGTGGACTATTGTTTTAACAATACCACTGTATGCCCTGTAAATGATGGAAAAAAAACATCTGTGCCTTGTAACACATTTTAAACAAAATATATTGTTTTGTGACATGGGACATGTTGTTTTGTGGAGCAGCAAAGACGTGTCCCCTAAACCTGCAGTACCTGGAGTGTGGCGGTCCATGCAGGAACACCTGCTCAGCCCCAACTGCAAATCTAATGTGTACCGATCACTGTGTGGACGGCTGCTTCTGCCCTGAAGGTAAGAATGAATAATCAGACACAAAATTATACTGTTTACAGCCATTTTATTTCATGTGACTACTATTAAGAATTCCTTAATATTCAGATCATCATCAATTTGCTCTATTAATTTCCTGTGATGAATGTTCAGCATTATAAATACAAACTTTAGTGTCATATAGTTCTTCTTATAAATAATTGTGCCACTTTTTGCAGAAACCATACATTTGTTTCAGAATTGGAGCATTTATTTCTGTTGTAAAACTCACTTTTGATCCTACTAAAGATTCTATCATCATTTTCCCTTATTTTTGTAAAGGCACCGTTGAAGATGACATTGGTCAGAGTGGTTGTGTTCCTGTAAACGAGTGTCCATGTGTGCATGATGGCACAGTATATAAATCAGGAGAGTCTTACCAACAAGCTTGCAAATCATGGTAACATTTTTACATTATTAGTCATATTTAAAATCATGCATACTTGTACAAATGCTAACACTGCTACCATTTAAAATCAGTACATGTGATGCTGGACACTGGACCTGCACATACCTGGACTGTCCCGGCACATGCTCTGTTGTTGGAGGTTCTCATGTCACCACTTTTGATGGAAAGAGCTTCACCTTCAGCGGGAACTGCGACTACATCCTCACTAAGGTCTGTCAAGATACACCAGATGAGAGTATTTTTTAAAAATCATTTATTTATATATTGTTGTGTACGCCAAAACATGTTTACACGTTTCATCATCACCACATTGTGCATTTTGTATGTGCACAGATTGATTTTGCTCAGTTGCTTTTGTGCTATAAGTTTGTTCAGAAGCTGTCAATACTAAACCGGCGAGCTGAAACCCAGAGCTGATGTGGATTTGTGTGAGGGGATAAAAAGATAAATGCAAATCTCTTTTAAACAAGTACAAAGACATTGGTTGCACTTTATTTTACACTATGTATACTTATCTAACAAAGTACTAGGTTATTAAAGTCAGGTTAAGTTTACTGTTGATTATTCAGTTTATGTGATAAATATGACAAGTACATAGTATTTGTATGCATGTTTTATCTTCTCATACTGAGAAACAATGGCCTGGTTTAATGTTGGCACCTTGTGGACAAGAAAGGTATCCAAAAACAAGTCACAGCTGTGCATGTGCAAGCAAAGTAGTGTGTGTGCACTGTACTGATGACAACATTTGACATGACAGAAGATGTTTTCTGTTACGTGGTTTATATCAGGGTTGCCAAAAGTCGGTCCTGGAGGGCCAGTGTCCTGCAGAGTTTAGTTCCAACCCCAATTAGACACACCTGAACCAGCTAATAAAGCTCTACCGGGTATTTTAGAATCTTCCAGGCAGGTGTGTCGAAGGAAGTTGGAGCTAAACTATGCATGACACCGGCCCTCCAGGACTGAGTTTAAGCACCCCTGGTTTATATACTAATCAAAAGAGGCAATATAGAAATGTATGTATAATCATGAAATAAAACTTTGCAGGTACTTAAATTATATTTGTTATTCCAGCACTCTGCAGACAGTGACTTTGCCGTTGTGGGAAATCTGGCAAAGTGTGAAGCATCCCGAACAGACACCTGCTTACACTCAGTTACCCTTGTCATCTCTGGGACCACTGTAAGCGCTGGGTTTAATTAGTTATGCATAATTCTTGCTAATAACAATACTGACTACCACTAATTATTAAAATAATCGTATTAATAATATATTTTTGCTGATGTTTTACTTGTTAAACAGATTAGTTTTTCCTCCAGTGGAGATGTGACATTAAATAACATCAATTCAAAAGAGCTTCCTTTCAGCATTGGTGGGTCAAAAATAAAGGATTGTTTTTATAATTTTACAAAAGAAATGACATCAGAAATAAATATATAAATAAAATTATTATACCAGGTCCTGTGAGTATCTTCCAGCCCTCTTCATCCTTCATTATTGTTGATTTGACGAGCGTTCGTCTGGAGATTCAGCTGGCTCCAGTCATGCAGTTGTACATTGTAGCCAGCACTGAAGAGAAAGGAAAAATGACTGGTGAGTTTATAAAAGCCTTTGGGAAATGTGTATAGTTTTCTGAAAATGCATATAAACATTTTTAAAATAGTCAAAGAGCAGAAATAATCTAGTAAACTTTTAACCTTCCTTGTTTTAGGTCTTTGTGGGAACTATAATGATGTCCAAACAGATGATTTTAAAACTGAATCAGGCATTATCGAGGGCACCCCAACATCCTTTGTCAACTTTTGGAAACAAAACTGTCCAGATCTTGAAATCACATTTGACAACCCATGCAGCTTGAACATGGACACAGGTGCTTATTCCATTTCCGCTCAGAACATTCATATTGCACTTGATCATTCTTCCCGGGATTGATCCTGTTTCTTTGTTTTTTTGCCTCATAGAGAAACTTGCCAAAGACTGGTGCTCCCGCCTTACAAATCCAAATGGCACCTTTTCCGAGTGTCACTCAGAAATATGTCCTGAGATGTACTACCAAGTAAGTCATCCTGCAGAAATGTTTAGTTTCCTTTTAAATTTACTTTGCGGTTGTGTTCACTGGCCACCATAAAATCAAATAATAATAGAAAATTGTCCTAGAAAAAGTATAAATTTTTTTTTCGTTAATGTGCCCTTCCTAATCTTCAATCAAAACAAATTCTCCTCCTTTTCATGCAACATCGTCTCTTTCTCTGATGATTTGTTTTTAAGTGAAGTTTGTTTATAAACTCATTTTGAGAGGATCACATGCTTATGATTGATCACAGCTGGTCCTGCATTACCCAATTTATTATTCACCAGTCAAACGATTCCTGAGTCTCCTAAACCTAGTTCCATACCATAGTCATCTTCATTTTGAAGAATCCCCCCTTCCTCCTCTACTCCTCCTCCTTTCATAGATGGGTTGCACGGCGGTCCAATGGTAAGCACTGTTGCCCCACAGTAAGAACATTACTGGTTCTAGTCCTTGCAAACAGGAGGGAGTCTCGGGCTCGAGGATTCTATGAGCTCAGAGCCAGGGGCGGACTGAGACAAAAAATCAGCCCTGGCACTGTAGCCACACCAGGCCACATTACCACACCGACACAGCCCCACCCACAGACACGCACGTTCACTACTTATATTGGTCTACAGATGGTGAAATAATACAAGCAATACCATATGTAATAGATATGTAAACATTTAATGTATGTGAGTGGAACAAAAACAACCCATTTATAACAAATTTATACATGCATTCATTTCATTCATTTTCTTTTCGGCTTAGTCCCTTTATTAATCTGGGGTTGCCACAGCGTAATGAACCGCCAACTTATCAAGCATATGTTTTAGAGTGATTTTTTTTTGCTTTCTCTGAGCCAGATTTTTTTTACGTCCACGTAACCTCTGATTTAGGTCGGATTGGGTCAGCCCATCTCGAAACCAGCTGACCATTGCCGATTGGGCCAAATGCTTAACATTTATTATTATTACTGATCATCATCATATTCACATCTTGCAAGAAATAAAATCTGCCTGCATGTAAAAACAATACATACAAAAAGTTTTTTTTAAAGGAAACTGACTGGCCCACATTTTTAAAAGATGGTCCAGCCCTTCTGGCATTTGCCAGAATTGCCCGATGGCTAATCCGCCCCTGTTTAGAACTCTCTCTCGGGACAGCAGGCAAAACATGCTTTATAATCAATCATCAGCTAAGTGTGAACTCTAGATAGTGTGAACAACATGACATGAGATCAACCAATATCAAACCACAACCATCCAAACACGATGTACAAAGTCAAGCTACCCGCCTTCTATTTTCTAGAAAGGAACATGAAACCATTTACCTCATAATAGGGAAGACTATCACACCTTCCATTTTGTGTGAAGTTAAATTCTTTTAATCTGTTTTTCTCTGCAGAGGTGCGTCTATGACACCTGCAAGTGTTCAGACATTAGGAAGTGCATCTGTGCAGCCGTGTCCACCTATGCCCACGCATGTGCCGCCAGAGGAATCATTCTCCACGACTGGATGGATACAGAGCCTTGTGGTGAGAACATTTCATTTGTACAGCTCTATATTATAAATGTGAGTCATCTAAAATGTGAAAACAATTCATGATAAAATTGTGGGTATTCCGTGCACAGAATCTGAGTGTCCGGAAAACATGAAACACTCCTATGAAGTGACCAGCTGTGGCAGCACCTGCCGTTCTCTCAGTGGACAAGAAAACACCTGCCAAGGGTCCTTCACACCTGTACATGGCTGTGTTTGTTCTGAGGGAACCTACCTTAATGAGGAAGGCAAATGTGTACATGCTGGAATGTGTCCTTGTTATTATGGCAACCAGGTCATACAGCCATCCGCAGAGTTCAACAAGGAAGGTGCTAAATGGTATGAATGAGAACATTTACTTATTACCAATTATTATACTTTACGTATTGCACTTTACAGTTCTATTCACAAGCTTATGATTCAATTCATATCTAAATTGATTCAACATATGTTTATTTAACCATATGGTATAATACATCAGTTTTTTCTAATAGATAAAATCTCTCTCTAAAAATACTGTACATTTAATCAGTCTGTATATCACTATAATAAAATGTGCAGTGTGCAAAAATTGCAAACATTTAAACTGCACATCATGGTGGCTCCGTGGTTAGCACTGTCGCCTCACAGTAAAAAGTTTGCTGGTTCGAGTCCCAGCTGGACCAGTTGGCATTTCTGTATGGAGTTTGCATGTTCTCCCTGTGTTTCCCGTGGGTTTCCTCCAGGTGCTTCAGTTTTCCCCACAGTCCAAAGACATGTGCTATAGGTGAATTGGGTAAACAAAAATTGGCCATTGTGCGAGAGTGTATGGGTGTTTTTCAGTACTGGGTTGCGGCTGTCCATCCGTTGCATAAAACATATGCCAGAATAGTTGGTGGTTTATTCCGCTGTGGAGACCCCTGATAGATAAGGGACTAAGCCAAAAGAAAATTAATAAACTACATATATATATATTTTTTTTTTTTTTAATTGAGAGGTGAGCAATAGTTAATAGTGAAGGATTTTTGTTTTTAAACTTCATTTTGTTTTAAGTAAACATGGTTATCAACAAGGGTAATAATAGAAGTCCTCAACATCAACTTGTTTCAATGTGTATAGCATGGTTGATAACAGTATGAAACAAAATAAAAATTGTACAAATTATATATATATATACACACAAACAGACACACATATACAAATATATACATATATCAGGGTTTCTACGGGGTTTTAAAAAGTCCAAAAATGTCTTAAATCTCAAAATCCAAACTTTAGGCATTAAAAAGCCTTAAACTTACTGAAATATTGTGTTGTAGGTCTTAAATCATTTCTAAATGGGGCTTAATTTTCTTTGGCTCATGTATTGCTACCCAATCTGGCCAAACCCTGTACAATCACCAACAAACTTTTTTTTAACTCTATTCAGCATAATAGTTTAATTATTTTCCATACAATAGCATTTGTTTAAAAGTTCTCCATGTATTTACTGCTAAGGACACTGACCTGCACAGATTGTTGTCCACAGATTTAGTTTATTGTAACTTTTTTATTTTAAATAAAAGTTTATGTTGGGAAAAAGTGTATGGATAAAAGTAGAGCTTGCTTGTTTTTTCACAATATTTAAAATATTTAGCTAAGTAATAAAATCTAAAAATATTTAATTGTTTATTATTAATGTATTATTGTATTATTAGGTGTACTAAATTATAATAATTTTTTTGATAGGTCAAAAAAAACTTTTCCATCTGGGCAATTTGAAAAATTCATTAGCCTTTAGCGCTTTATGAGTCTAAAAATTTATTCATAATGGTCTTAAAAATGACTTAAAAAGTCTTAAATTTAACTCTGTAAAATGTGCAGAAATGTGCAGATGTATGCATACAGAAACCTATAAGTATATAGCTAAGTAAAAAAAGGAAAAACGTCAGAGAATTTAATAACTGAAAAAAGTGTCTAATAAAGTTATTGTAGAACAGATCAAACAGAAAACAGAGAAAAAATAGTTTGTTGTCACCTATATCTTATATATCTTATATCGCTTCTCCTACATCATTATATTAAATCACTGAAGCTTTAATAATGGAGATCAAATTATCATGTATTTGGTTCCAATGAAGAGTTGTTGAAATTGTGAAGGTTTTTTAATGTATTAATGAGACAGGCTAAGATTAAAATGATTAGGATTTAAGAGTGTACAGTGAAGTGGTTCATAAAAATGAGAATCATTTAAAACCAAGAAATCAAACTCAACTTCGAACCTAATAAAAAGTGCTGCAAAATGCTTTTAAAAGTAGTTTTAGATGTTCTATGTCCCAAATGCGTATATCCATTTGATTATATTGATATGTTATATGAACTCGTCTTGGTAGATTTAGCAATTCTCAGAACTATTTTGTTCATTTACAGCACCTGTAACAATGGCAAACTGGATTGCTCCAGTCATGAAGGTGAGTTGCAAACTAGCTCTTCTTCAGTGCGTTATATTAATTTTAAACGTGATTCAATTCTAGTGAGATGTGTGCTAGTTACCAAATCTTCATTTATACATATGTTTGGCTTTAGACTGCGTGGCTCCAATGACATTCTTTAAATGCTCACATCCTGGAGAGAAAGGCACAGAATGTCAGAGGACATGCGACAAACAAGACCCAAACAATTGCGTAAGTTAAAACAGTTGAATACAGTACATAACAATAAGATTACAGGCATTACTCAGGCATATAAAATATATACAGTCAAGTCTGAAATTATTCATACCAAAGAGAGAGAGAGCATGTTATGAAATAGTTTGTTCTACTGTAGACATTTGCTAAGAAAAGTTGTAAAACTTATTTTGTTTCGGCTGTAGGTGAGCACAGGGTGTGTATCAGGGTGTATGTGTCCTGAGGGCCTTTTGGCTGATGGAAAAGGTGGATGTGTGATGAGGGAAAATTGTCCATGCACCCATAACGGTGTGACAAGTTCACCTGGGGATCAAGTTCAACAGGACTGTAACACCTGGTGAGCTAATCTAATCTGTTATTACCCATGTTATCTTGTGCTGTTTTTGATTTATACTTCATCTGTATGTAATTGCTGTCTTTGTTTCAGCACATGCACAAACGGTATGTGGATTTGTACACAGAAGGCATGTTACGGCACCTGTACCATCTACGGTGAAGGTCATTTCAGGACTTTTGATGGCAACAGATACTCCTTCCATGGAGACTGTGAACACACCTTAGCCCACGTATGTTCACTTTTGTATCTGCCAAGGCATTAAAATCTAAAATGAATATCCTACAATTGGTTAAAAGTAATTCTGTGTTGACTTGTTTCATGCTATTCATAGTGATTTGTAAACTGGACTGTGTAACTTCTTTAGGATTATTGTGATGGAAACCCCAGTCCCTCTTTCCGCCTTGTCACCGAAAACATCCCCTGTGCAACAGCCAACTCCATTTGCTCCAAGTCTATTAATCTTTTCTTCGGGGTGAGATCATTTCATTGCCTTGTCAGCACATGTGTATGACTAACATTTGCAATATAAAAAATATATTATAAGACTAACCATTCCATATTCCGCAGAGATATGAGATGATTTTATCAGAGGATGATGGCGTGAAAGTTGTTGAAGGCAACGGCACAGAATACAAATATCAAATCAATTATGGAGGCATATATGTGGTCATAGAGATCGAAGGTCTTCTGAACCTAATCTGGGATGAGAAAACAAGTGTGATGATCCAGCTCCATCCCAAATTAAAGGTATGCATTCCTTACAAGCACACCTTTATGTAACCTTTATTCTACTACTCATCTAAACATCCGCATGATCTCTGTTGCAGGGCAATGTGTGTGGACTGTGTGGAAACTTTGATGGCAATGCAAACAATGACTTCATGAAGCACAATGGAGAAGTGGTGACAGATCCAGAGGAGTTTGGCAATAGCTGGAAGGTGGATTCAAATTGTCCTGATGTGACAAATGTGATGCATCCTTGTGAAGCACATCCACATAGGAATTCCTGGGCTATCAAGCAATGCAGAATCATCACAAGCCCTGTCTTTACAGATTGTCATTCACTTGTAAGTAACATAAGTAACATAAATATTCACATTTCTGTTTTTACATTTATCTTCATACTTTAAGGCAAGGCAAGGCAAGGCAAGGCAAGTTTATTTATATAGCACATTTCATACACAATGGCAATTCAAAGTGCTTTACATAAACAAGAATAAAAGAAACAAGTAAAATAAAAATAAAAACAAATAATAAAAATGCGTAAAAACAAAACAAAACATAAAAACAGGTAAAATGTGATATAAAAGAATGAAGAAGAAGAGAAAAACATGATAGTGCAATCTTTAAATGAAGACATTTAGACATGGTCAGTGGTAACGTGTTTTTTTTTCTGATTTTGCTGTTTCTAGGTGGACTCTGGCCCATATTATGATGCCTGTGTTCGGGACACCTGTGCATGTGACAGCGGGGGTGACTGCGATTGTCTCTGTACTGCAGTGGGGGCTTACGCTGCTGAATGCCGTAAGAGAGGAGCTTGTGTAGCATGGCGAACACCACACTTTTGCCGTAAGTCCAAAACTTATAAATATATACTTGCCTAAATACCTACACTGAAGCCTTTGAATCTTAGGTCAGAAATGTATTTATTGAACTTGTGCCCGCAAGTTATGTTATGTTATTGCTTGACCTTTATTAAAATTTTAATAATCTGCAAGTATATATATATATATATATATATATATATATATATATATATATATATTTATACACACCCTCTGGCCACTTAGACGCTTAAAGACGCTTAATTAACCCTATCTTGTGTTGTCATTTTTGCAGCTTTATTTTGTGACTACTACAATGCTCCAGGAGAATGTCAGTGGCACTATAAAACCTGTGGATCAACCTGCATGAAAACCTGTAGAAACCCCTTAGGAACCTGCTCTGATCAAATTCCTCCCCTTGAGGGTGAGAATTTAGAAATTGAGTGTCTCTCAATAGTTGACTTTGAAGATAATAATATGTGGATGAACACTGTTCAGCGGGTCAAGACATAGTTTTAAATCAAATGTCTCAATTTTTTAGGTTGTTTTCTTCAGTGCCCTTCTGAGAGACCGTATCTCCGGGAGGAGACCATGAAGTGTGTCACAGAGGAAGGATGCAAAGACTGTTTCTATGATGGGAAGGTATATCCACGCGGATCCGTCATTTACAACACCACAGATGGGAGTGGTGCATGTTTTTCTGCTAAATGTGATTACAATGGAGAAATAATCCGAGAGATAAAAACTGATTGTATAATCACAACAACACCTTTCACATTTTCAACACCACCATCTACAACAGTTACTATAACATCAACGGAAACACCATCCACAATCACATCCACTATTACACCAACTACTGGAACTTCAACACCAACTTCTACAGAAACACCAATCACAACAACATCCATTACTTCACCAACGACTGAAACATCTACATCAACTTCTACAGAAACACCACCCACACCAGCATCCACTACTTCACCAACTACTGAAACATCAACATCTACTTCAACAGAGACACCATCCACAATCACATCCACTGTTACACCAACTACTGAAACATCAACACCTACATCAACAGAAACAGTACCTACACCTAGTACAACTACTGCTACAACAACACCTACCAGTACAACAACTCCAATCTGTGTCCCTAGATGTGAATGGTCAGATTGGATTGATAGCAACAAACCCAATACAGAGCCAGAAGGATTTGAGACTGAGTCCATCCCCTTATTATGGAACTCAAGGAGGATAACTTGTCAGAGTCCTGAAGAGGTTGAATGTAGAGCAGTGAATTATCCCCAAAAGACGCTGGAAGACTTGGGACAAACAGTTTATTGCAATACATCATTTGGACTGTCATGTTCTAATGAAGACAATGCAGAGGGCTTGCCACCAATTTGTTATAATTATGAAATACGTGTATACTGTTGTAAAGAAAACTGCCCTTCAGATACAACCACAAGTACACCATCTACATCAACAGAAACACCATCCACAACTACATCCACTACTTCACCAACTACTGAAACATCAACCCCTACTTCAACAGAAACACCATCCACAATCACATCTACTGTTACACCAACTACTGGAACTTCAACACCAACTTCTACAGAAACACCACCCACACCAGCATCCACTACTTCACCAACTACTGAAACATCAACACCTACTTCAACAGAGACACCATCCACAACAGCATCCACTACTTCACCAACAACTGAAACATCAACGCCTACTTCAACAGAGACACCATCCACAATCACATCCACTGTTACACCAACTACTGAAACATCAACACCTACATCAACAGAAACAGTACCTACACCTAGTACAACTACTGCTACAACACCTACCAGTACAACAACTCCAATCTGTGTCCCTAGATGTGAATGGTCAGATTGGATTGATAGCAACAAACCCAATACAGAGCCAGAAGGATTTGAGACTGAATCCATCCCCTTATTATGGAACTCAAAGAGGATAACTTGTCAGAGTCCTGAAGAGGTTGAATGTAGAGCAGTGAATTATCCCCAAAAGACGCTGGAAGACTTGGGACAAACAGTTTATTGCAATACATCATTTGGATTGTCATGTTCTAATGAAGACAATGCAGAGGGCTTGCCACCAATTTGCTATAATTATGAAATACGTGTATACTGTTGTAAAGAAAACTGCCCTTCAGATACAACCACAAGTACACCATCTACATCAACAGAAACACCATCCACTACTTCACCAACTACTGAAACATTAACCCCTACTTCAACAGAAACACCATCCACAATCACATCCACTGTTACACCAACTACTGGAACATTGACACCAACTTCTACAGAAACACCATCCACAACTGCATCCACTACTTCACCAACTACTGAAACATCAACGCCTACTTCAACAGAGACACCATCCACAACTGCATCCACTACTTCACCAACTACTGAAACATCAACGCCTACTTCAACAGAGACACCATCCACAACAGCATCCACTACTTCACCAACGACTGAAACATTAACGCCTACTTCAACAGAGACACCATCCACAATCACATCCACTGTTACACCAACTACTGAAACATCAACACCTACATCAACAGAAACAGTACCTACACCTAGTACAACTACTGCTACAACAACACCTACCAGTACAACAACTCCAATCTGTGTCCCTAGATGTGAATGGTCAGATTGGATTGATAGCAACAAACCCAATACAGAGCCAGAAGGATTTGAGACTGAATCCATCCCCTTATTATGGAACTCAAGGAGGATAACTTGTCAGAGTCCTGAAGAGGTTGAATGTAGAGCAGTGAATTATCCCCAAAAGACGCTGGAAGACTTGGGACAAACAGTTTATTGCAATACATCATTTGGATTGTCATGTTCTAATGAAGACAATGCAGAGGGCTTGCCACCAATTTGTTATAATTATGAAATACGTGTATACTGTTGTAAAGAAAACTGCCCTTCAGATACAACCCCAAGTACACCATCTACATCAACAGAAACACCATCCACAACTACATCTACTACTTCACCAACTACTGAAACATCAACGCCTACTTCAACAGAGACACCATCCACAATCACATTCACTATTACACCAACTACTGGAACTTCAACACCAACTTCTACAGAAACACCACCCACACCAGCATCCACTACTTCACCAACTACTGAAACATCAACGCCTACCTCAACAGAGACACCATCCACAACAGCATCCACTACTTCACCAACGACTGAAACATCAACGCCTACTTCAACAGAGACACCATCCACAATCACATCCACTGTTACACCAACTACTGAAACATCAACACCTACATCAACAGAAACAGTACCTACACCTAGTACAACTACTGCTACAACAACACCTACCAGTACAACAACTCCAATCTGTGTCCCTAGATGTGAATGGTCAGATTGGATTGATAGCAACAAACCCAATACAGAGCCAGAAGGATTTGAGACTGAGTCCATCCCATTATTATGGAACTCAAGGAGGATAACTTGTCAGAGTCCTGAAGAGGTTGAATGTAGAGCAGTGAATTATCCCCAAAAGACGCTGGAAGACTTGGGACAAACAGTTTATTGCAATACATCATTTGGACTGTCATGTTCTAATGAAGACAATGCAGAGGGCTTGCCACCAATTTGTTATAATTATGAAATACGTGTATACTGTTGTAAAGAAAACTGCCCTTCAGATACAACCCCAAGTACACCATCTACATCAACAGAAACACCATCCACAACTACATCCACTACTTCACCAACTACTGAAACATCAACGCCTACTTCAACAGAGACACCATCCACAATCACATTCACTATTACACCAACTACTGGAACTTCAACACCAACTTCTACAGAAACACCACCCACACCAGCATCCACTACTTCACCAACTACTGAAACATCAACGCCTACTTCAACAGAGACACCATCCACAATCACATCCACTGTTACAGCTACTTCAGAAACATTGACACCTACATCAACAGAAACAGTACCTACACCTAGTACAACTACTGCGACAACAGCAACACCTACCAGTACAACAACTCCAATCTGTGTCCCTAGATGTGAATGGTCAGATTGGATTGATAGCAACAAACCCAATACAGAGCCAGAAGGATTTGAGACTGAATCCATCCCCTTATTATGGAACACAAAGAGGATAACTTGTCAGAGTCCTGAAGAGGTTGAATGTAGAGCAGTGAATTATCCCCAAAAGACGCTGGAAGACTTGGGACAAACAGTTTATTGCAATACATCATTTGGACTGTCATGTTCTAATGAAGACAATGCAGAGGGCTTGCCACCAATTTGCTATAATTATGAAATACGTGTATACTGTTGTAAAGACAACTGCCCTTCAGATACAACCACAAGTACACCATCTACATCAACAGAAACACCATCCACAACTGCATCCACTACTTCACCAACTACTGAAACATCAACCCCTACTTCAACAGAAACACCATCCACAATCACATCTACTGTTACACCAACTACTGGAACATCGACACCAACTTCTACAGAAACACCAATCACAACAACATCCATTACTTCACCAACGACTGAAACATCGACACCCACTTCTACAGAAACACCATCCACAACAGCATCCACTACTTCACCAACTACTGAAACATCAACGCCTACTTCAACAGAGACACCATCCACAATCACATCCACTGTTACACCAACTACTGAAACATTAACACCTACATCAACAGAAACAGTACCTACACCTAGTACAACTACTGCTACAACAACACCTACCAGTACAACAACTCCAATCTGTGTCCCTAGATGTGAATGGTCAGATTGGATTGATAGCAACAAACCCAATACAGAGCCAGAAGGATTTGAGACTGAATCCATCCCCTTATTATGGAACTCAAAGAGGATAACTTGTCAGAGTCCTGAAGAGGTTGAATGTAGAGCAGTGAATTATCCCCAAAAGACGCTGGAAGACTTGGGACAAACAGTTTATTGCAATACATCATTTGGACTGTCATGTTCTAATGAAGACAATGCAGAGGGCTTGCCACCAATTTGTTATAATTATGAAATACGTGTATACTGTTGTAAAGACAACTGCCCTTCAGATACAACCACAAGTACACCATCTACATCAACAGAAACACCATCCACAACTGCATCCACTACTTCACCAACTACTGAAACATCAACCCCTACTTCAACAGAAACACCATCCACAATCACATCCACTGTTACACCAACTACTGGAACATTGACACCAACTTCTACAGAAACACCATCCACAATCACATCCACTGTTACACCAACTACTGAAACATCAACACCTACATCAACAGAAACAGTACCTACACCTAGTACAACTACTGCTACAACAACACCTACCAGTACAACAACTCCAATCTGTGTCCCTAGATGTGAATGGTCAGATTGGATTGATAGCAACAAACCCAATACAGAGCCAGAAGGATTTGAGACTGAGTCCATCCCCTTATTATGGAACTCAAGGAGGATAACTTGTCAGAGTCCTGAAGAGGTTGAATGTAGAGCAGTGAATTATCCCCAAAAGACGCTGGAAGACTTGGGACAAACAGTTTATTGCAATACATCATTTGGACTGTCATGTTCTAATGAAGACAATGCAGAGGGCTTGCCACCAATTTGTTATAATTATGAAATACGTGTATACTGTTGTAAAGAAAACTGCCCTTCAGATACAACCACAAGTACACCATCTACATCAACAGAAACACCATCCACAACTACATCCACTACTTCACCAACTACTGAAACATCAACCCCTACTTCAACAGAAACACCATCCACAATCACATCTACTGTTACACCAACTACTGGAACTTCAACACCAACTTCTACAGAAACACCACCCACACCAGCATCCACTACTTCACCAACTACTGAAACATCTACATCAACTTCTACAGAAACACCACCCACACCAGCATCCACTACTTCACCAACTACTGAAACATCAACATCTACTTCAACAGAGACACCATCCACAATCACATCCACTGTTACACCAACTACTGAAACATCAACACCTACATCAACAGAAACAGTACCTACACCTAGTACAACTACTGCTACAACAACACCTACCAGTACAACAACTCCAATCTGTGTCCCTAGATGTGAATGGTCAGATTGGATTGATAGCAACAAACCCAATACAGAGCCAGAAGGATTTGAGACTGAGTCCATCCCCTTATTATGGAACTCAAGGAGGATAACTTGTCAGAGTCCTGAAGAGGTTGAATGTAGAGCAGTGAATTATCCCCAAAAGACGCTGGAAGACTTGGGACAAACAGTTTATTGCAATACATCATTTGGACTGTCATGTTCTAATGAAGACAATGCAGAGGGCTTGCCACCAATTTGTTATAATTATGAAATACGTGTATACTGTTGTAAAGAAAACTGCCCTTCAGATACAACCACAAGTACACCATCTACATCAACAGAAACACCATCCACAACTACATCCACTACTTCACCAACTACTGAAACATCAACCCCTACTTCAACAGAAACACCATCCACAATCACATCTACTGTTACACCAACTACTGGAACTTCAACACCAACTTCTACAGAAACACCACCCACACCAGCATCCACTACTTCACCAACTACTGAAACATCTACATCAACTTCTACAGAAACACCACCCACACCAGCATCCACTACTTCACCAACTACTGAAACATCAACATCTACTTCAACAGAGACACCATCCACAATCACATCCACTGTTACACCAACTACTGAAACATCAACACCTACATCAACAGAAACAGTACCTACACCTAGTACAACTACTGCTACAACAACACCTACCAGTACAACAACTCCAATCTGTGTCCCTAGATGTGAATGGTCAGATTGGATTGATAGCAACAAACCCAATACAGAGCCAGAAGGATTTGAGACTGAGTCCATCCCCTTATTATGGAACTCAAGGAGGATAACTTGTCAGAGTCCTGAAGAGGTTGAATGTAGAGCAGTGAATTATCCCCAAAAGACGCTGGAAGACTTGGGACAAACAGTTTATTGCAATACATCATTTGGACTGTCATGTTCTAATGAAGACAATGCAGAGGGCTTGCCACCAATTTGTTATAATTATGAAATACGTGTATACTGTTGTAAAGAAAACTGCCCTTCAGATACAACCACAAGTACACCATCTACATCAACAGAAACACCATCCACAACTACATCCACTACTTCACCAACTACTGAAACATCAACCCCTACTTCAACAGAAACACCATCCACAATCACATCTACTGTTACACCAACTACTGGAACTTCAACACCAACTTCTACAGAAACACCAATCACAACAACATCCATTACTTCACCAACGACTGAAACATCGACACCCACTTCTACAGAAACACCATCCACAACAGCATCCACTACTTCACCAACTACTGAAACATCAACGCCTACTTCAACAGAGACACCATCCACAATCACATCCACTGTTACACCAACTACTGAAACATTAACACCTACATCAACAGAAACAGTACCTACACCTAGTACAACTACTGCTACAACAACACCTACCAGTACAACAACTCCAATCTGTGTCCCTAGATGTGAATGGTCAGATTGGATTGATAGCAACAAACCCAATACAGAGCCAGAAGGATTTGAGACTGAATCCATCCCCTTATTATGGAACTCAAAGAGGATAACTTGTCAGAGTCCTGAAGAGGTTGAATGTAGAGCAGTGAATTATCCCCAAAAGACGCTGGAAGACTTGGGACAAACAGTTTATTGCAATACATCATTTGGACTGTCATGTTCTAATGAAGACAATGCAGAGGGCTTGCCACCAATTTGTTATAATTATGAAATACGTGTATACTGTTGTAAAGAAAACTGCCCTTCAGATACAACCACAAGTACACCATCTACATCAACAGAAACACCATCCACAACTACATCCACTACTTCACCAACTACTGAAACATCGACACCTACTTCAACAGAAACACCATCCACAATCACATCTACTGTTACACCAACTACTGGAACATCGACACCAACTTCTACAGAAACACCAATCACAACAACATCCATTACTTCACCAACGACTGAAACATCGACACCCACTTCTACAGAAACACCATCCACAACAGCATCCACTACTTCACCAACTACTGAAACAGCAACGCCTACTTCAACAGAGACACCATCCACAATCACATCCACCGTTACACCAACTACTGAAACATCAACACCTACATCAACAGAAACAGTACCTACACCTAGTACAACTACTGCTACAACAACACCTACCAGTACAACAACTCCAATCTGTGTCCCTAAATGTGAATGGTCAGATTGGATTGATAGCAACAAACCCAATACAGAGCCAGAAGGATTTGAGACTGAATCCATCCCCTTATTATGGAACTCAAAGAGGATAACTTGTCAGAGTCCTGAAGAGGTTGAATGTAGAGCAGTGAATTATCCCCAAAAGACGCTGGAAGACTTGGGACAAACAGTTTATTGCAATACATCATTTGGACTGTCATGTTCTAATGAAGACAATGCAGAGGGCTTGCCACCAATTTGTTATAATTATGAAATACGTGTATACTGTTGTAAATACAACTGCCCTTCAGATACAACCACAAGTACACCATATACATCAACAGAAACACCATCCACAACTGCATCCACTACTTCACCAACTACTGAAACATCAACCCCTACTTCAACAGAAACACCATCCACAATCACATCCACTGTTACACCAACTACTGGAACACTGACACCAACTTCTACAGAAACACCATCCACAACTGCATCCACTACTTCACCTACTATTGAAACATCAACCCCTACTTCAACAGAAACACCATCCACAATCACATCAACTGTTACACCAACTACTGGAACGTCGACACCAACTTCTACAGAAACACCAATCACAACAACATCCATTACTTCACCAACTACTGAAACATCGACACCAACTTCTACAGAAACACCATCCACAACTGCATCCACTACTTCACCAACTACTGAAACACCAACGCCTACTTCAACAGAGACACCATCCACAATCACATCCACTATTACACCAACTACTGGAACTTCAACACCAACTTCTACAGAAACACCAATCACAACAACATCCATTACTTCACCAACGACTGAAACATCGACACCAACTTCTACAGAAACACCATCCACAACAGCATCCACTACTTCACCAACTACTGAAACAGCAACGCCTACTTCAACAGAGACACCATCCACAATCACATCTACTGTTACACCTACTACTGGAACACTGACACCAACTTCTACAGAAACACCATCCACAACTGCATCCACTACTTCACCTACTACTGAAACATTAACCCCTACTTCAACAGAAACACCATCCACAATCACATCAACTGTTACACCAACTACTGGAACGTCGACACCAACTTCTACAGAAACACCAATCACAACAACATCCATTACTTCACCAACTACTGAAACATCGACACCAACTTCTACAGAAACACCATCCACAACTGCATCCACTACTTCACCAACTACTGAAACATCAACGCCTACTTCAACAGAGACACCATCCACAATCACATCCACTATTACACCAACTACTGGAACTTCAACACCAACTTCTACAGAAACACCATCCACAACTGCATCCACTACTTCACCAACGACTGAAACATCGACACCTACATCAACAGAAACACCATCCACAACAGCATCCACTACTTCACCAACGACTGAAATATCGACACCTACATCAACAGAAACACCATCCCTAGGCACATCCACTGTTACACCAACTACTGGAACTTCGGCACCAACTTCTACAGAAACACCATCCACAACAACATCCATTACTTCACCAACGACTGAAACATCAACACCAACTTCTACAGAAACACCATCCACAATCACATCCACTGTTACACCAACTACTGAAACATCAACACCTACTTCAACAGAAACTACATCTACAACAATTCCAGTAACAACTATACCAACAGAAACTCCATCTACAGTTGTTACAGTAACAACTTTATCAACAGAAACCCCATCTACAACAGTTTCAGTAACAACTATACCAACAGAAACTCCATCTACAATTGTTACAGTAACAACTATATCAACAGAAACTCCATCTACAACTGTTACAGTGACACCTATATCAACAAAATCTCCATCTACAATTGTTACAGCAACACCCAAATCAACAAAAACACCATCTATAACTATTGGATCTACAACAACTATGTCAACAGAAAAACCATCTACATCTAGCAAATCTACAACAACATCCACATCAACAAAGCCTGTTACTACTACAACAAAGTTCACTGTGCATACAGGTCCAGTTCGCACCACTCCAAATCCAGAACAACCATCAACTCAATGTAACTGCACATATTTAAATGCAATATTCTTACCAGGTGAGCAATCATTCGATGATTACAATTCAATTTAGTTGTTCAACCTTAATCCTTGCATATGTGCACATTAACTTAACCCTGCATTACATTCAACCTTACTTATGTAAAAACATCTCCCTTTTCGCTTAACTCTCTTACACATCCTTTTTATTCTAATTATAGGGTCATCAATATACAATAAAACAGATAAAGCAGGTTGGTGCTTTTCCGCTCACTGCAACTCCTCGTGCAGTATTATCATACAGGCTGAGCCATGTGCAACAACAACACCACCAACAACAACACCAACAACGACACCAACAACGACGACATCCAAACCGAACAAAAATGATTGCACACAGGTCCAAAGAAAGGTAATTTATTCAGGATGATTTGCATTGGCCATTTTCAAGCAATGGCAAAGACACATTTGTTTTGTCAACACTTGATCCCCCAACACTATCCCTTGCTATTCTATTTAATTTAATTGTATTTTGTTTAATAATTAAATGTCTGTGTAAACATGCAGAAAAATGGAAGCGTCAGAACTCAACGTCAGGCTGACGTCAATGTCCAATGTCCAACCTAAAATCAACCAAATATCAACGTCTAATGATGTTACAGCTCAATGTTGTGTGGATCTAACCACTATGACCTCTATCAGACATTGTATTTTGGTTGCCATACCTGAAGAATAATTGTCATTTTTTGATGTCAGTATTATTTTAAGATGTTGGTTCGACGTTGGACTTTGGTCACTTTCCAACACAACCTAAAATCAACCAAATATCAACGTAATTTGAAGTCATTATTGGTGATCAAAATAATGTTGTCTTTAGACACTGGCTAGACACTGAATTTTGGTCACCTGACGTCACAACCGATATCTAACCTAATATAACTTTTTACAATAAGGTTCATTAGTTAATGCATTTACTAACATGAACTAATCATGAACAACACATGTACAGCATTTATTAATCATAATTGAGCATTTACTAATGCATTTTTAACATCCAAGTCCATGCTTGTAACATTAGTTAATGCACCATGAGTTAACATGAACTAACAATGAACAACTGTATTTCCATTAACTAACATTTACTAACATGAATAAATGCTGTAGTAAATGTATTGTTCATTGTTTGTTCATGTTAGTAAATGCATTAATTAACATTAACTAATGAACCTTATTGTAAAGTGTGACCTAAATATCTTATGACATTGTGTGCCTGCTGGGCAATAACTAAATGCACTACACACTGTTACGTTTACACACATGCACAAATTACATGTAAACACATCTGTTTTTTATAGCATAATACTCCCTACTCACTACTCTTGGGTACTTTTAAAAGAGCTATTTTTTACTCATACAGTACGTTGAGGAATATTTACAACAGATACTTTTACTCTACTTACACTACATTTTTAGGCAAGTAATGGTACTTTTACTTAAGTATGATTTTTCATTACTCTTTCCACCACTGTTATAATGTAAGAAAAATAATGTATACAAAAAAATAATTATAACCTGCCTTTCAAATTTACCTTTCCTTCATCTGATGTGTCATCCAGAAGCAAAAGAAACTAAACTGTTGAACATATTCTTGTGGAATGCCCCATTTTTAATGTTATCAGACAACTATTTTTATCTGGACAGACTTTAAATTAAATATTTTTAAATGTAAAATCTTCTAAAATTGTAAAACAATTTGACAAAAGTAAACCTTAAAAAACTGATTTAGATTTTTATCTTATATATTATCATTATTATTACTATTTATGTATTTTACCTTGTGTATAATTTATTGCTGTAGGTGACTTTTAGTTGTTAGAATATTTTTATAATTATAGAAAAGTAGTATTTATACAATGTGGTAAACTTGATCTGTTTTTTTGTTTTTTTTGTTTTTTTTGCCATGACATAGCCAAAGAAGCTGAAAGGGCAATAAACTCAAAATTCTCTCTCTTTGTCATCCAGAATATGGAGTCCTGGATTGAAAACTGCAAAAACTACACGTGTAAAAATGGCAAGGTAACCTCAGTGCCTCTACAGTGTGACAAATCTGACAAGGTCATGCCTACATGTACCAATGGAATTAAAGCTAAGAAGGTGTCTTATAACAATGGCTGCTGCTCTAGATATGAATGCGAATGTGAGTTTAAACCATGCTTATTTACATTAAATTTATCTTTAATACTTATGAGTAAATGTTAAATAACATGCCCTGTTCCTTGGTTTGAAAGGTAAATGCAGTGGTTGGGGTGACCCACATTACCAAATGTTTGATGGAACATACTATGACTTCCAAGGAAATTGCACTTACGTCTTGTTCAAAGAAATCGTCCCAAGATATAACATCAGTGCCTATGTTAAAAACTACTTATGTGATCTTCAAAATAATCTTGCCTGCCCAGAGTATGTGATTGTGAACTACAAATCATATAGCATTAAGCTGACAAGCAACACCAAAGAGATTGAGGTAAGTCTGCAAAACATTCCTAAAAACATTTTACGTCCCATAATGACAAAATGACAGTGCACTAGAGCATCGTTTTGAAAAGACCCCGTGTTTCCCACAGGTCTATGTTAATGATGATTTGAAACAACTAACTTACGTCAATAACAACTTCTTCATCACCACCTCTGGCATTGGAGTCATTTTGAACATCACTGAAATCAATGTCGAGATTACTGTGAATCATCAAGGCTTTGTGATCAATCTCCCATTCTCCTACTTCAGTGGTAATACAGAGGGGCAGTGTGGTGAGTACAGATCCGAGATCATTTCTATGAGATGTGCATTAAGCAAAATGAAGTTTCACAAACTAGTTTCGAGAGAAGCAAGTGATATAATTGAGTTGAGCTGTTCTTTCATCTGTAATCATTAGTAAGCCAATCCGATCATTCCAAACTCACTATAAATAGCCTGACTAGCATTACTCCCTTCGTTTTTTTAAGAATCCACCCCATTTCCTCCCTTACCAGGATGAGCTCTTGAGAACTACCTGATCTCAGACCCCCTTACCTGCTAATTGACCAGGCGGGAGCCCTGGGCTCAATTATCTCTGAGCTCAGGGTTCTCTCCCGGGACAGCATGCCAAACCTGTTATTAATATCAAGCAATATCTAAGTGTGAACTCGTGAAATACCATATGTGTGAGTGTAAATTTTATATTTACTAGTGCATCAAATTAATATGATTTTCCATACCTTCTTATATACTCGAATTTCAATAATACATTTATTTTGCAATGTAGCATTACTACTTCTCTACATCCAGTTTAAGCCAAATTAAATGTCTGTTTATCAGGGGTCTGCGACAACAATCGTACAAATGACTGCAGACGCCCTGATGGACAAATCGACAAATCGTGTGAGAACATGGCACAGCTTTGGATGGTTCCCCCAGGATGCCAGCCTCCTAAACCTATACCCAAGCCTACACCTCCTCCAGTTATCTGCAACCCCAGTATTTGTGAATACATCAAGGGCGAGTAAGGAAATGCTAAACTTTTATATTATGTAATATTATTGCTGATTACTGCGATAACAATATATCTCGCAATGATACATTTCCCTAGAGAGATTGTAGATTTAGTACCATTTAAAAAAAAATATGTATATACTTAATAATCATACTAAAATAAGAAGGTATTAGATATTTTTCTGATTTATTTCAAACAAATTTGGGCAACAAAAAGGCTCTTACTTTAAAAACATTTTGACATTTAAACATAAATGACTGAAAAGTTAAAAGCACCTAAATATGTACATTTTCAGAATTTATTTACCCTCAAGCTGTTTTAAACCTATATGACTAAATAAGGGGAAAAGAGGGAAATCTTACCATTTTGGAACATCAAATGAGGTAAAGGAATTTTTTTCAATGCTCTATTTGTTTTTTCACAGCATGTTTAAGGAGTGCCATGATCATATTCCTTACGAAAGTTATTATGAGTCATGCAAATTTGATGTGTGCCGCATGGGAAATCGTTCAATTGGTTGCACCAGTCTTGAGGCGTATGCTGCATTATGTGGAAAAGAAGGCATCTGTGTGGATTGGAGAACCTCCGATGACCTTAAACAAACCTGTGGTAAGCAGAATTAACACATTCTAAACAAAAATGCTGGGTTAGCACTGTAGCACAAAAAAGTTACTTTGTATAACTAGCGCTTCTTGTGTGTATTGCCTCTTCTTGTTGAATCACTGAATACCTCCTAAATTGTAAGTCGCTTTGGACAAAAGCTTCGGTTAAATGACTAAATGTAAATGCAAATGTAAAACATGGGTTAAAAAAAGTGCAATTTTAACCCAACATTGGGTTTTTCCATATTTGACTAAACAATGGGTTACAACAATACAGAATTTTCTACAGTGTATCTTTAACCTTTTAAGACTGGGCTTTACATCTCGGAATGTTTAAAAATATGTAATCACTGTTGGTTTCTCTAACAGCACACAAATGCCCCAGTCACAAAGTATACAATGCATGTGGACCTAAAGTGGAAAAAACCTGCAGTACCAGGTAATCTTGCTCTACAGTAGTCAACAAAACAACAGTCCTTAATAAATATCAGAGATGGCAAAAGTACAAACATTCTTTACTTAAATAAAAGTACAGATGCTCAAGTTTAAAACGACTCAATTAAAAGTACTGACTACACGTTTGTACTTAAGTAAAACTATAGAAGTACTGCCTGAAAAATGTACAAAAGTAATAAAACTAGAACCTAAAGTTTATTGAAAAACTTTGATGTTGGCTTGAGAAAGCCAACGTGACTGTGCTAGGACTTGGAATGGCAGTTGACAGGAAGCACTGTGGCGGTTGCTAAGTGGTTGCAATTATGCAATTATGGCATAACTAACCAGTTGCTAAATGGCAATGCTCGTGTGCATGTTTGATCAAATGCTAATACTTAGTAGGCATTTCAAGCATATGTTATTGCATTTAGATAATCATTCATAGCATGTAGTTAATTGTTTTTAGCACTTGGCTCCCATTATCATTGTTACCATGCATAGTACACAGGAAGTCCCATTTGCTAGCATGAGTCAAATAAGCCAATGCCCAGGTCCCTACGATGTTCTGATGTAGAGATATTGCCATTTTTAAATGGTTGCTAGGTTATACTGTTTTATTGCTATGGGGATATTTGACAGGTTAGTGATGATACATCAAAGCTTCTTGGCAATATGAGTGATCTTAATCAACCCCAATGTTTCTATGACAGTCTTTATGAGTGTCAAAAACTAGACTTGAACATTATGTATTCCTGGTGTTGGGTTGCGGCTGGAAGGGCATTCACTGTGTAAAACAAATGCTGGATAAGTTGGCGGTTCATTCCGTTGTGGCGACCCCTGATTTATAAAGGGACTAAGGGAATGAACATTATGTAAAAATGGCTTGCCGTATTTTTTTTTTAAATACAATGCTTAATAAGTGTAAAAGTAATACATGCAAAAATGGCTTGCCATATCAGTAAAAAATATGGAGTTTAAGTCAAAAATGGCTTGCCATATTTTGAGAAAAATAATGCTTAAAAATTATTTATTGGAAAACTATAAGTCTGTTAAACCTTAAAGATATAGCAACAAAATCTAACGCATCTAAATACAGCTTTTGGCCAAATTTGGGGCTTGTATAATTTTTTTATATGCTCGAATTATAAAAAATTAATCTTTAACATTTTTTATTCAAAAAACAATAAGTCTTATAGGCATGAGGAGATATAGCAACAATCTTGAATGTTGAAGGCACATTTTGACCACATTTGGACCTTGTGGCATGAACGAGATACGTTTGTTTTCAAGGACAGAGTAGTATAACAGTATGTTGGCTTTCTCAAGCCAACATAATAAAAAGTACCGGTTTCAACCACAGGTTAAAAACATGCGGTAGTGGTGAATACAAGGTAACTAAATTGGCAGTAGTGTATAAGTGTGTGTAAATGTGAGTGTATATGAGTGTTTCCCAGTACTGGGTTGCAGCTGGAAGGGTATCCGCTGTGTAAGACATATGCTGGAATAATTGGAGGTTCATTCTGCTGTGGCGACCCCTGATAAATCTGAAGGATAGTGAGTGAGGATAGGTAGGTAACTAGACCTCACATTCTATTGATACGTTATTATAAAATAACTGACATTTCCAATTTTTATGTAAAATGTTTGTTGCCAAATTTATGAAAGTAGCCAAGCAGCATCAAACTCTGCAATATAGCCCAACAACATTGTTTAAAAAGCACGGCCCATGTATCATCATCCAGACGCAAACTCACAGCGTTCAGCATGTAGTTTTTCAGCTGTTAGATCAAAAACATCAGCTGCCTTTCATGTTGATACACTCTAAAAATAGTTCTGTAGGCCTGTCTATCTTTATAATAATATAATGTCTTACATTTTGCACTGAATTCTGTCCAAAACATATTGAATTTTTTTCTTTTGCTAAAATAAATTCTAATGAAATTTGACTGTAAACTTTTTTTTTTTTTTTTTTTGCATTAGGCTAAAGCTGCTTTTTTCTTCAAAGAGCAGCTCTCATAAATAACCCAGAAATAAAAAAAATAAACAGCAATGCATACATTTTTATAAAGTTTTTGATTTTTTATTACTAAATGAACAAATCTATACAAAAAAGCACTATTTTTTACGGTATTAGATGTATAAGCCTGTGCAGTAATGATCGGAAGAGCACATAAGGCTTTAGCATTTAGCATGTTTTTGAACTGGAATGTGTGTCTCGTGTTTACCTGTGATCCGATCGAGCAAAAGGTGTATTAATACCGTGTAAACAGTGCAGCATCAGTCATGTTAAATTCGCCGACTCTCTCTCTCACATCTGCGTAGTCATCCTTGCCTTATAAGTAATCTTCATAAACTAGCCCACGTACGGTGCGCGATAGCCTTGAAAAGGCCGGGCAGTGCAGCACGCAGGCATGCAATGAGGAAAATAGACTGCTTGCTGAAAAACTACATGCTGAACGCTGTGAGTTTGCGTCTGGATGATGATACATGGGCCAGGCTTTTTAAACAATGTTGTTGGGCTATATTGCAGAGTTTGATGCAGCTTGGCTACTTTCATTAATCAAAAAGGCGCTCAGATTATTGCACAATGATAAGAAATAATATAGATCGAGCCACCAAACACATAAAAACAAAAGTAACAACTGTGGTTTTAAAATTGTAAGGAGTAGAAAGTACAGATATTTGTGTAAAAATGTAAGAAAAAAAAAGTTTAAAAAAAAGTAGTGGAGTAAAGTACTGATACCAGAAAAAATCTACCCTTTAGTATTTGTACTTTGTTACTTCCTATCTCTCATAAATATAATAATTCACTGCACTTCTCATGACTAGGTACAACGACTTGTTTGTGGAGAAAGACTGTCAAGGCGAAAGCTGTCATCAAACATACATGGAAGGTTGTTTCTGTCCCGATAACACGTATCTAGTTAGTTCAACGACAGATTACTGTACGGCTTACTGCGGTAAGACATGCAGCTTTCTTTACTTTTATACAAGAATAATGCACTTTCTTGTGACCTTGTGGTTGATTTTGTTTTCATTCTTTCCTTGTAGACTGCATCGGCCCTGATGGATTACCTCGAGAGGTACTTCTGAAATAGATAAGCCAAGACAAATATGTCAATAAGGTGCAAAACAACTCATCTTGCATTTATACTTCATAATCCCCACATTTTGCTTGCTTTCCTCCTGCAGCCTGGAGACACCTGGACCATGGACTGTTACAAATACACCTGCTCCAATGAGACTTTTGGGATCACCAAGGAATTTGTTGGGTGTCCGACTATAGTGCCCTGTGGACCCGAGCAAAAATTAATTATTGACAACTGCTGTCCAACCTGCGGTGAGAATAATATTACCAGCGGGAAACATTTATTAAAAATAATTCTCTAAAAATACACCTGACAATAGCACTCAGTCTCTCTGCAAGTTTATTGACAAATTTGAACTGTCTATACTTGAATGCATCAGCAAAGAGCTTTGAGAAAGCAACTTTTAAAGATGCCTTTTCTTATGAAGAGCCAAAAAACAAACATAACTGGGGGCTATGGGGCAAAGTTAAATATATCAAACTGTATTTCTGTAAACTGTATTATTATTATTAATATTAATATTATTATTATTATTATTATTATTATTGTCTAAAACTGTGTTAAAATTGTCATGGGTAATTTTGAAAGAATATTTAAAAATAGTTAAATATATAAAATAAACTTAAAAAATATATTAATAATGTTAAAAAAATTATATATTTTTAATTAACATATATTAATAAAAAAAATCAATTAACACAATGGCCATTTAAATAAATCTGATTCATTTACAACATGTAATTATAACATTTATTTTAAGCTTGCTTTTTTTAGTAGCTCAACAATAAACAAACCAACAAAAGATAACGTTAAATTAGAAATGACAATTTCTATTGTAGGCATTCCCCCCGACCCTCCCCTTTATTTTTTCTGTGTTCTCTGATGGGATGGCGGGTAATATCAAAGGCTATCATGGGCCAACTTTGGCCCCCGGGCCCTAGTTTGGGCATCTCTGCACTTCATACAAAATAAATGTATTATTATTGATTATTATTATCATTATTATTATTAAAAATAATGGAAACACATTTCACATTCATGTTAAACGTTTGTTTGTTATTTTTCCTCTCATTTAGTGTGTAATCTCGAGGTCTGTATCCACAAGAAATGTGATGTGGGATTCGAGTTAGCTGAACATGCAAATGAAGGCAGTTGCTGTCCACCCTGTGGTAAGTCTCAAACTGAAATTCTAAAAATTATGCATATTGTTGCTGTCCTGGAAATGCTGATGTCCTTTTTGTGATGAATACCTGATAGGTAATTCTCTTTTTAGTTCATGCTGTTATTTTCTGTCATAGCAATCCATAGGAAAATTAAACTGGAAATGATTTTCTTTTTGATGTTAGAAACATAGCAATAATGATTGGCAATTTACTAGAACTTCTATGTTTAGCTGTTTTGACACAATCTACATTGTAAAAGCGCTATAAAGATTAATTTAATTAAATTGAATTGAATTAATGGCAAAAAGCAATAGTGTAATTATACTAATTATGGCTTACTATATGCAATGTTTATTTATATAGCACATTTCAGACACAATGGTATTTCAATGTCTTTTACATAAACAAAAGGATTAAAATCACATAATAAGTATAAGGGGAAAACACAACAAAGAATTAAAAGGATAAAAAATAATTGAAATTATTAAAAAACAGGTTTAAAAGGAATAAAAAAAGGAATATCACAGATATCTAAACCAACAGAACTAAAATATTTTAGTTTCTTTGTTTTAAGAACAAAGATTTTTGTTGAAAATAAATAATTATGTACATAAAAACCTGCAATACAAAGAACTATTGACGATGTACTTCATGTGAGAAATTACCTTTTTTTAAAATAATAACAAAAGAAGTTAAATATCATGTATATTATTAACTTAATGTTTTTTTCTTCTTCTAATGTACAGTGCCCAAAGACGTCTGTGTGTACAATAACACTGAGTACCAGGTGAGCCTATGGATTCATTCATTCAATCCTTCATTTTGTTTTCAGCTTAGTCCCTTTATTCATCTGGGGTCGCCACAGCGGAATGAACCGCCAACTTATCTAGCATATGTTTTACGCAGCAGATGCCCTTCCGAATCGACCCAACACTGGGAAACACCCATACAGACTCATTCACACACATACACTACGAACAATTTACCTATAGCACATGTCTTTAGACTGTGGGGGAAACCGGAGCTCCCGGAGGAAACCCACACGAACACGGAGAGAACATGCAAACTCCACAGTGCCAAATGCCAACTGACCTGGCCGGGGCGCGAACCAGCGACCTTCTTGTTGTGAGGCAATCGTGCTATCCACTGTGCCAACGTGACGCCCCTCTAGATTCATTTGTTCAAAACAATAATAATGAATTTTGAGAATGTCACATTCAACAATAGGAAGTGCACTAGAATTCAGAAAACCATTCTACACTTTATTGACCGGTAATCTCTGTTGTTCTTTATAGCCTGGATCCACAATCTACCCAGACCCTTGTGTCGAATGTAACTGTGACATGGAGAAAGACCCAGAGACACAACTACACACCGTCTCCTGTGTTTCTAAAATCTGTGAACCTTGCTCTGAGGTAACATTTACATCTTTACATCGCTGATTTGAAAAGAACATTCATCTGTAGACTCTGAGCATGTTTTTTGTTTTCTACTTCAAGGGCTTTGAGCTCGTGGAACAAAAAGGCGAGTGTTGTGGAACATGCAAGCCAAATGCCTGTATTTATGTGTCAGATAACATCACACATATTCTCAGTGTACGTATTCTTGGATTTTCCTTTACTTTTTCAGACAATTAATCTGCTCTTCCATTCTCATGCAGCTTCTCTTTTTTTGTTATAGGAGGGAGAGAGTTACAATTATAAATGTGAAAGTGTGACTTGTCAGCAAGTCAATGGGACGTACATAATAGAGAGGACCATACCAACCTGTCCCGAAATCAATCCAGATCAATGTGTGCCTGTGAGTTTTCCAAATTGACACATTTGGAGCTGTTTCTACAAAGGCTAATTCAGCCCGAAATATGAAAATTTACCCTGATGTCATTCTAAACACATAAGAAATGTTTTTGTTCAAAAGTTTCCTGTCCTTAAACTTCCATAAAGAATTTTATTTTTTAAACCCAGACAAGTCAAGCGGTTAAATGCAAGCATTCTGAGGAGACAAGACAGCTTTATGCTGGGATTTTGCTTACTTTTACATTTAAATTAATTTATTTCCTCAAAATTCCACACACAATACCCGATAATGACAATGTGAAGAAAGATTTTTTGAAATTGTTGCAAATTTATTAAAAGTAAAAAAAACCTTTTTAAAAAAATCTCATATACAGAAGTATTCACAGCCTTTGCTCAATACTTTGTTGATGCACCTTTGGCAGCAATTACAGCCTCAAGTCTTTTTGAATATGATGACACAAGCTTGGCACACCTGTCTTTAGGAATTTTTGCCCATTCCTCTTTGCAGTACCTCTCAAGCTCTATCAGGTTGGATGGGAAGTGACGGTGTACAGCCATTTTTAGATCCCTCCAGTGATGTTCAATAGGATTTAGGTCTGAGCTCTGGCTGGGCCACTCAAGGACATTCATCGAGTTGTTGTGAAGCCACTCCATTGATATTTTGGTGGTGTGCTTTGGGTCATTGTCCTGCTAAAAGATGAACTGTCGCCCCAGTCTGACGTCAAGAGCTCTCTAAAGCAGGTTTTCATTCAGGATGTCTCTGTACATTGCTGCATTCATCTTTCCCTCTATCCTGACTAGTGTTCCAGTTCTTGCTGCTGAAAAACATCCACACAGCATGATGCTGCCACCACCATGCTTCACTGTAGGGATGTTATTAACCTGGTGATGAGCAGTACCTGGTTTTCTCCAAACGTAACACCTGGCATTCACTCCAAAGAGTTAATTTTTAGTCACATCAGACCAGAGAATTTAGTTTCTTATGGTCTGAGAGTCCTTCAGATGCCTTTTGGCAAATTCCAGGTGGGGAGTGGCCTCCGTCTGGTCACTCGACCATACAGGCCTGATTGGTGGATTGCTGCACAGAAGACTGTCCATCTGTAAGGTTGGAGCTTAGACAGAGTGACCATCGGGTTATTGATCACCTCCTTGACTTATGCCTTTCTCCTCCGATAACTCAGCTTAGATGGCCTGGCCAGCTCTAGAAAGAGTCCTGGTGGATCCAAACATCCTCCACTTACAGATGATGGAGGTCACTGCGCTCATTGGAACTTTCAGAGCAGCAGATATTTTTCTGTAACTTTCCCCAGCTTTGTGGCTCAAGACAATCCTGTCTGTGAGGTCTACAGACATTTTCTTTGTCTTCATGCTTGGTTTGTGCTTTGACATGCACTGTCAACCCTGGGACCTTGTATGCCTTTTCTTGATTCAGGAAAGCAAATATTATTGGTTTACACAAAACATGCCATGTGACGTGAAAGTCAGTAGTTACTGCACATTAAGCAAACATGATTAAGCAACCAGCATTAAACTGTGAGCAGTTTTAAAAGCTTTAAAGATTTTTACACGTGTCTCTTCACTAGTCTTGACAAGGTTAAACTTCAAATTTTTTGTTTGATCTTAAAAAATTTTTGAGCCCCACCCCAAAACATTTGCAAAATATGTTGCTTTGTGTTCTACAAAGTCTGATGACACTTTTTTTTTTAAATTGAACCAGCACGTTTAGCGATGTATGTCACATTGACATTTAAACCAAGCTCTGTTTGACTTGACAGGGAACACTGGGACTCGATGAAGATGGATGCTGCAACACCTGTAAGACATTATTTCCTTTCTTAGAAAATTCTGATTGTCCTTATTTGTAAAATACAAGCAGAACTAGTTTCTTTAAAGCAGGGGTCACCAATCTAGGGCCGGTGTCCCAACAGCTCCAACTTGCCTCAAAATACTTGTCTGGGTGTTACAAGTATACCTAGTAAAGACCTTGATTGGCTTGTTTAGGTGTGTTTGATAAGGGTTAGAACTAAAACCTGCTTAACACCGGCCCTCCAGGAACAAGTTTGGTGACCCCTGTTTTAAACCATCTCATGTAAAGGACATGTCCTGTAGGATATTATAATGATTACAAAGCAAATTATAATAATAATAAAGCTATGGAAAATGTTAAGTAACCTCTTTAAAAATCTGCTTCTTTAGATTTACTGTATTTAGTAGGTACGTGTTTGAGTAAAATGTACAATTTTGCTTTATTTCTTGCAAATTCAACTCATTCAGTTTTCTTCGGCTCAGTCCCTTTATTTATCAGGGGTCACTAGAGCAGTATGAAACGCCAACTTATCATGCATATGTTTTACACAGCACATGGCTTTCCAGCTGCAACCCAGCACTGGGAAACACCCATACACTCTCACATTCACTCATACACTGAGGCCAATTTAGTTTTTATTCAATTCACCTATAGCACATGTCTTTGGACTGTGGGGTAAATGTTTCCATTTGTTGTGATTGGTTGTGATGTCTTTTTTACTTCTTCTTTATAGTTAAGACTAAAAATGTATATAAACGTTCGAAGTGCTACCTTTTTGCTATTTTGACCAAATGTCATTTTATGCTCCATTTGACAACATTTTTATTTTTGCATTGTGCATTTGCACTTTGCACATAACTGTCAATCGGAAATGCAGAAAAAAATTTGAATTTCCAAACGGTCTCCTAATTTTTCATAATGCTATGCTATACAATATGTAAAAAAAACAATACAGCAGGTTAACAAGAATAGCGCAATTCATAAGCAGTTATTTTGCTTTTAACAAATGTTTTGTTACTGCTATGTTATTGACATTGCCTCCTTTACTATCTCAGGTGAACTCAAGAACTGTGTTCGTGTGAAGAACATGACAGATGTCACAGTGAATGACTGCAAGTCCATCAACCCCATTGAAGTCACATCCTGCAGTGGAAACTGCGACACAGAATCAATGTGAGAACGCAAATAATTTAGCGAAAAATAACAATAAACCCTTTTAACCAGTCTGTTATGACATGTTTAACAGTCATCACCATCTAAAATCCTTAAAAGTTTTTAATGTTTATTTTTTTTTTACTTATTTTTTATTTATTTTATCATTTTTCAATTCAATTCAGCTTTATTTGTATAGCGCTTTTACAATGTAGATTGTGTCAAAGCAGCTTCACATAAATGGTCATAGTAACTGGAACAGTGTGCTTCAGGTTTTAGTGTTTAAGTTCAGTTCAGTTCAGTTTAGCTCAGTTCAGTGTGATTTAATCATTACTGAGAGTTCAAACACAATTGCTTCACATTACACAATAACTCATTTCTGCTTGTGCGAGGTGTTTTTAATGTAGCGTGTATGGGGCAGGACAGTAAATTTGATGTTATTCTCTTCTCTGGCTGTCGTCATCAGTCTCACTAAATTTTTTCCTTTTTTCTAAAAGTCTCGATAACCCCATAGTGGAGGTTTTTTTTTTATTATTACTTGAGCAAATATTATTGTAAAAAAAATTGTTGTACTCTCCCATTCACTGCGCTCTAAGTTTTCCCAAATATGACCAACTATACTAAGACACTCGGAAATGTGAAAAGGGTCTATAGAACGTAAATAATTTACCAAAAAAAGCACTTTGCAAATTTAAGAGCACAAAATGTGCAACTGCCTTGGAAGCAAGAGCAAATAAAAAAGCAAAATGTGCATTATTATTGTACCAATAGTAAATATGTATGTTGCTTTAACCGCTGTAGCTTTGTTTTTTAGGTTTTTGTAGTATTCTGATAACATGCAGCAAACAGTGATGATGTGATTTTATTTTAGCGACATCTGAAATCAAATACTCTTGAGGTCCCTTGTGTAAACCCTTTAAGATATCTCATATAAGGCAAATAATGTACAATACAATTTGTATATATCTATATATTATTTGTTTAAATGTATATATAATTAATATAAAGTACATACTGTATTTGACATGTAATATTCGGATGAAATGGGATGAAAAATGTCCATTTGCAAATGTATATACAGCGGGGAACATGTCACCATTTTTCTCAGCTATCATATTTCTAAAGGTGCTGTAGACTTGAAATTTTTCTCCGGATGTTGGTAACAAGCAAGGAAAGCCATTTTTGCTAAAAAGAAATTAAGTTTTGCATAATAAAATGAAATGACAAAAAGTATTGAACACATGAAGAAAGGGAGGTGTAAAAAGGTAGTGAAAGCCCAGACAGCAGATGAAATCTCTCAGTGTTTCTTCAGCAACCCTCTGCCCTTTCTCATTGTAAATGAATATCAGCTGCTTCAGTTCAACATCTACATTAGCAAGATGATGAAGACGAAACCAGCGTGGACATTTCAGCAAGACGATGATCCAAAACACAGCCAAAGAAACTCTCAAATATTTAAAAATTATTATCACTATTTTGTTTGCATTGTTTGGGTTTTTCCCAAAATCTGCATCAGTTCCATGTCAACAGCTTCTTTAGAAATAATATTCCCAGGAAAAAAACATGACGTGTTCAATACTTATTTTCCCTGCAGAATATATTTTGTCAACCATTTTAATTTAAAAAATGTACAACAAATGTTGTCATTTATTAGCTATGCGGAGTCATATACAGCTTGAAACACTCCACAATGTGTTTTGATTATCGCAGACTTGCATGTGTATTAAGATCGGATCTAACAACTATTTGTCTTGTAAATCTGCGCAGGTATTCAATGGGCGCAAACACCATGATGCACAGCTGTTCCTGCTGTAAGGAGACGAAAACCAGCGTTAAAAAGGTGACGCTGAAGTGTGCGGACGGCAGTGAAATCCCTCATGACTACGTCTACATAGAGAGCTGCAGATGCACTCCTATTACGTGCGAAAACCAGAAAACCAGTGGATAAATGATCCTGTTGACATCGGTTTAATGGCTACAATTCCAGATATTACTGGAAAAATATGTATCTTTAGTGAACGACTGTACCATTCAGCTCTTTGTTCTATAACTACTGTCACTGGGGGAATTTTCCGGATATTTTGAATTGTTTTGTTAGTTCTTAAGCGACGCAAAACAAAGCTCTTCCCTATTTTCTTCTTGTGTATGGATGAATGATGACTCTAATAAAGCAAAATAAATAGCAACAAAAACTGAATGATGGATATGTTTTTTCTCCAATAAGTGAAGTTTATTTATAAACTAATTATGAGAGGATCACGAGCTTATGATTGCTTGCGGTTGCATTTTTCAATTTATTATTTATCAATCAGACGATTCTAAAGCCACTAAAAATACCCTAAATTCCATATAGCAGTCATCTTCGTTTTGAAGAATCCCTCCTTTCACCCCTACTCCTCCTCCTTTATGAGTGGCACGGTGGCCCAGAGGTTAGCACTGTTGCCTCACACCAAGAACGTCACTAGTTCTAGTCCTTACCAAGCCAGCCGACGTTTCTGTGCAGAGTTTACACGTTATCCACGTGCTTACAAGGGTTTCCTCCGGGTTTCCCGGTTTCCTCCCACCGTCCAAAAACACGCAACTTAAGTTAATTGACTAATAGAAATCGGCACCATAGACATGCTCCTAGTAAGTAGTATCTGTTCATTAGCTACTACAGCAGGGGAGTTCTCGAGATCTACCTGTGCTCAAACTCCCCTCTCGCATTGCAAACGGGAGGGAGCCTTGGGCTCGAGGATATTATGAGCTCAGGGACAGCCTGCCAAACATGCTTTATAATCAATCATCAGCTACGTGTAGGGTTGCCACCCGTCCCTTAAAATACGGAATCATCCCGTATTTAAGAAAGAAATTGCGTGTCCCGTTTTGAATCAATACGGGATGGGTTTTGTCCCGTATTGATTCAATCATTTTTTTAAAAGTAGCTTCACCTGCAAATCATCCCACACGCATTTTATTAAGTTGCCTCATTTCCCACTTTTGATTGGGTAATTCTTGATGTCATCTTTAGTTTGATTGGTCTTTTTTAACTGTCCAGTGAGGTGGGCGGGTCTTTTATGCAGAAAGTGTTCTCTGTAGCTCATGGTGGTCTGTCAGACATGCGTCTGGAGAAAAATCAAAGCACAGTCAGACAGTTCTTTGTACCCAAAGTCTCTCCCGAAGCAGACATGGTAATGACAGTGTAATCATTATCAACAATATTTAGGTTAGTTGCTTAATAATGTTAAAAATGTGAACCCAATTCACCTATACCGCATGTCTTTGGACTGTGGGGGAAACCGAAGCACCCAGAGGAAACCCACGCGAATGCAGGGAGAGCATGCAAAATCCTCACAGAAACGCCAACTGAGCCCAGGTTTGAACCAGCGACCTTCTTGCTGTGAGGCGACAGCACTACCTACTGCGCCACTACGTCGCCTGTTTCTGTATCATTTAAATGCTTATTATAATTGCATAAACATTCTCAATTGTATAAACATTCACTGGCTGCATTATTAAAATAAACTGTACATTAATATTATTTAACAGAGCTGAGCTCAAGCACTAACAATGAAGTTGATGGATTTAGTGAACAGTTAAAATATAAACACATTTACTATTGGTTAATTCTAACCATATTCCGACTGACTCTATCACACATTTTTTTCACACAACTGAATTTTTTCATGTTCAATCTGGAAAAAAATTTGGAAAAAGAATTAGGTTATTTTAATCGGTTTGTGTTTGGGACAACATGAAGGAATTGCGTGGAGCCCAGCATTATTATTATAATATATTTTTTATACTACTATATTGTCATGTTCACCAGCGAACAACCGCCAGATGTCGCTGGTAAACACTCACACGCAAACACACACTTAGAACTACACTTCCGCCTTTTCCTGGACTACATTTTCATACATGCACTTCTCCCTGACACCCATGCTCATTCATCTAACTTGATTGCATTCACCACCTGAACCTTGTCATAGACTGAACTCTCACAGCTGAAGCCACTCACACAATGATTATTTGGACTATTTAAACCCCTCTTTTCCACACATGTTGCAGAGTCTTGTTAGCTGTACCAGTGACATTACAACGCGTTTCTCCCTGTCTTGTTTCTCCGCGTGTAAACCCTAGCCTGGTATTTCTTGTTATCCTGTTTAGCCGCCTGCCTTCTGACCTCCTTGCCTGTCATTCGACTACGATTCTGGACTGTCTCAATATACATGTTTACACCTGATTTGACCATTGCTTGCCTGACAACGTTTAAACCTGCATTTGGATCCTACCTTCTGTTGTCAGTGTCACTCCCCGTCGTTACATATATATTTTTTACATGTAATTTTGGCATCAAGGTACATGCATGTTAAGGAAACAAAATCCTGTGTAAATTTGTAATTGTAGCTTTCACATGAATAAAATAGTCTCATATTACATTTTTTGGTTATTTTGGTGGTCAAATGGGCATCAATGTGTGAATGTGTCAAATAGACATCAAGGTTAATCATTGATTTTTATTTTCGGCTTAGTACCTTTATTAATATGGGGCAGAATGTACAGCTGAATGAACCGTCAACTTTTTTAGCATATGTTTTACACGCAGATGTTCTTCCAGCTGCAACCCATCACTGGGAAACATCCATACACTCTCATTCACACTTATACACTACGGACAATTTAGCTTACCTAATTTACCTATAGCACATGTCTTTGGACTTGTGGGGGAAACCGGAGCACCCGGAGGAAACCCCCGCCAACATGGGAAGAACATGCAAACTCCACACAGAAATGCCAACTGACCCAGCCGAGGCTCGAACCAGCGACCTTCTTGCTGTGAGGTGAATGTGCTACCCACAGCGCCACTGTGCAGCCCTAGATGTCGAGTTTTTGACATCAAATCGATTTGCATTTTAAATGTGTTTTATGACTTCAACAATGTCAATTTGCTTTTTTTGCCATCAAGTCGCCCTGCTGGGAGTTCCTGGACATCTACTTTCTGCAAATTTCTGTCACAACCATAATCAAACACACTTAAAACAAACAACAGATTAAGATGTTCAGAAACATGACACGCAAAGACAGCTGTGTTCCAGTGGAGTTGGAACCTTTCCACAACGGCCATCCAACTTATAAAGCGCTGAATTCAAAATGCTAAATATAAAACAAACCTAAGATATAGATATAAATCAAAATTAAACCGAGGGTGGGTCGATGGGTCAGTGGTTAGCACTGATGCCTCACAGCAAGAAGGTCGCTGGTTTTGAGTCCCAGCTGGGGCAGTTGGAGTTTACATGTTCTCTTCGTGTTGGCGTGGGATTCCTCCGGGTGCTCCTGTTTCCCCCACAGTCCAAAGACATAGGTGAATTGAATAAACTGGCCGTAGTGTGTGTAAATGAGTGTGTACGGGTGTTTCCCAGTACTAAGAGTGGCTGAAAAGGCATCCATTGCAAAAAACATGTGTTATATATCATTTTGCTGAGACAACTTCTTAAATGGAGACAAAGCTGAAGGAAAATGAATGAAAAAAGAAACCATTCAATCAAAACTTAAGTAATAACCCCTTTAATTTAAAGTTACATTGTAAACGACATTAATAAACTAAATCTAAAATACTCCTGAGCATATATTTGCACACCAAACTGCAATTAATCAGTTTATGCTAAGCACACATATCACATATTCAGAGGTGTGACAGATACACACCCATTTAGGTGTCTGTTGCATAAAGAACCCTTTAATAATTTAATAGTAAAAGTTCATCAAGTTCCTCTTTCAATACAAGCAGAATAGTGACAAACTAAACAGTGAAAAAACACCATGTTTACACAATCAAACGTTTCCCATAAATTTGCTGCTGCGTCTAGAAAGATCTACAGCCGTCGGAGCTTTAAACATGTCAGACAGGCTGAGGTGAAGCTCTGAACACACACCTGCGCTCAAACGCTATTGAAACAGCAACTCTTCCTATATGCCTTTGGATCTTGCCATAGTGTTGATTTAGGACATAAGCATTGTTGGACTGTCATTCCATTAAAACGATACAATTTTATTAATGGCATTTCAGATTAATTAATCAAACATGATAACATTTAAGCAACACACAAAGTTTGTGCTTCACGCTTGACCAGGTTGGCATTCATTTTAATTTTGGTCAAGTAAATTGCTATATTTTAGTAGTCCTTTGGCGCATTGGCTTAAAATTTGGTGCACATCATATGAATCATATTCTGAATTTGTCTAAGAAAAATTGGCCCAGTGCCACCTTGAAGTAAAAAAATATAGAACTTTAAAAAAAAAACACAATTCTCCAATCTTCTGATGTGGACTTCATTTTGCTTTAATTTCCTTCTCAACCATTTCTAATGTTTACTTTTTTATTTATTTCAGTTCTTCTTCTATTTCAGTTACTATTTATTTTATTGTATGTGACAAAATGGTTTTAATTTGATCAGTTTAATGATTTACTCATGAAATTTTTTTACTACGATTAACTGACATTTCGTTTTTTTCGTCATTTATTGATTTTGCTTCGGCTCAGTCCCTTTATTCATCATGGGTCGCCACAGCGGATTGAACCGCCAACTTATCCAGCAAATGTTTTAAGCAGTGGATGCCCTTCCAGCTGCAACCCATCACTGGGAAACATCCATACACACTCATTCACACACATACACTAAGGCCAATATAGTTATTCAATTCACCTAATAGCGCATGTCAGTAGACTGTGGGGGAAACTGGAGCACCCGGAGGAAACCCACGCCAACACCGGGCGGGAGAACATGCAAACTCCACACAGAAATGTCAACTTACCTAGTCGGGACTCAAACCAGTGACCTTCTTGCTGTGAGGCGACAGTGCAAACCACTGGGGTTTTTTTAGTAACTATTTTAGCAATAGCTATATTAAGAACTCATAAACTAGCTGAAATTAAATATTACACTGAATTTCAGTAAATATAAAAAGTGATTTTTTTTATTTGTATAACTCACAGAACCACAGATGGACTGTATTTGAACTTAGGGTGTTTTCACACCTAGACTTTTATTGTTAAACCTGGCACGTTTCCCCAGTTAGCGCGATTTGTTTGGCATATGTGAAACCAGCAGTCGTGCTAGGATCCACGGTAAATCAATCGGTCCGAGATTGCCTGAATGACGTGGTCTCGGCTCTATTGAAACGAACTCTGGAGCGGATCGATTATAGTGAGAAAGCAAAACGATCCAATGAACTAACAAACCAGGCTATTGACCTTATTCTCCGCAGACGAGCGGGTGCTGCCATTTGAATCTTTTTGGCACGAGACTTCCGGTCTCAATTACTTCCATTCATTTTTAGACATTAAAAACTGCTCGTTTTGCTGTTTGATGTTGCAAACTGATATTTCCTTGTTATATTATTCTACTTGGTCTGTATAGTCATGCAAACATTTGTTTGTAGAGCAAGTAGTTTGACCGTTTTTTGCCGTTTATTATTCCTTGTCATTTCTCCCATAGGCGACTAAAACGGAAGTTTTAAGACAATCGCGAAAACAGGCGCACTTCCGCATTTTAGAATAAGGTCAATATCACAGTGTATTATTTATTTGTAATAGCCATATATACAGCTATATGAAGAGAGAATTATGAGTAGGGCGGCATGTCATTCCTACCAGTAAATGTGTTTCATGTCAAATACGGAAGTGAAAGAATGCAGAACTATTAACGAGAGCTGTTTATCCGTTAAGAAAATTGACCAACTGCAGTCTGTTATTTCTCTTTATAATGTAAAGCTTATAATGCATAATTCTAGCCAACGGCTATGTATGAGAAAGTCTTACCTCTGATTTATATTTAGTGACGATGTCTGTGGATGTCACCATTCCAAATTAAAGCGCAGCTTTTTGCTAACGATTCAAAAATTAAAATAAGGATGCCTAAAAGCTGAGCGAGACTCTGCAAACTAAACCGTGAAACTCTGACCAATATGAGAAGAATTTACTCACATGTGACTTGTTTTAGCTATTTTGGTCTGTTAAGAAACTTTGTCGTATCAAAAAGCAAACCGCACCAAGAACAAAGAGCGACATTTAAACAATTTTAATTTAATTTTAATTGAACTGTTTCAGAACAAAAGAATCGATCGACAGGTGTGAAAGCACCCTTACAAAATATAGTAAAACCATATTCAAAATTCTATAACTGTCACATAACCAGCGATCGCTCTCAAGAGATCGCTGGTTCTCACACGAACACCATGGACTACACTTCCGCCTTCCTCTGGACTACATACACATTCATGCTCTCCGGTCACACTCACACATGCTCACTCATCAAGATTGATTACATTCTCACCAGCTGAGCCTTGTCAGAGACTGATTACACAGCCTACATAAACCACTCATTTTCTCTTCCAGGGTGCAGAGTCTTGTTAGCTGTACCAGTGACATTACAATGCGTTTCTCCCTGTCTTGTTTATCCGTGTTTAGACCCTAGCCTTGTATTCCCTGTTCTCCTGTTTAGCCACCTGCCTTCTGACCTATTGCCTGTTTATCGACTACGATTCTGGACTGCCTACATATACCTGTTTACACCTGATTTGACCATTGCTTGCTTGACGCTGAATAAACCTGCATTGTGGATCTTACCTCCAGTTGTCTCTGTCACTCCCCCGTCGTTACAATACCACTGTTCTAAGACTATTTAAATCATTCAACAAAGCAACAATTCAATAAAGTAACAATTTAGCGTTTTCCTCCAATCCAATCATCTGATGTGGATCTAATTTTGCATCAATTTCCTTCGCAACCAGTTCTACTTTGTTTATTTGTTACTTTTCTATTTTAGCTAACATTTATTCAGTTTCATTTGAGAAAATGGTTTTAGTTATTTTTTAGTTTAATGATTATTTTAGTTACAATATTAACCCATTTAAAATGAACAATTGATTGACATTTAGTTCATTCGGTACCTATTTTAGCAATAGCTTTTTTTGATTACACAGGAACTCGCTGAAATAAAATATAACATCGAATGTCTCAATGTAGTAATAATTGTTTAGTTGTATAACTTATACAACGGGGTGTCACGGTGGTGAAGTGGATAGCACGATCGCCTCACAGCAAGAATTGGGTCGCTGGTTCGAGCCTCGGCTAGGTCAGTTGACATTTCTGTGTGGAGTTTGCATGTTCTTCCCATGTTCGGGTGTGTTTTTTCCGGGTGGGTGAATTAGGTAAGCTAAATTGTCTGTAGTGTATGAGTGTGAATGAGCGTGTATGTATGTTTCCCAGTGATGGGTTGCAGCTGGAAGGGCATCTGCTGCATAAAACATATTCTGAATAAGTTGGCGGTTCATTCCGCTGTGGCGAAACCAGATTAATAAAAAAGACAAAGCCGAAAAGAAAATGAACGAACTTATACAACACTAAAAAATGCTGGGTTCCGCGTAATTCCCTCATGTGGTCTCAACATAAACCGATTAGGTTGACTTACTTGTTTTTACAAATTTGAGTTGATTGAACATAAAACAATTGAGTTATCCCATAAAAATCCTCAAGAATTGTTTTGATTCAGCTCATTATATACAAGTAGTTTGAACAAGCAGCATAAGTATCACAGACAGACTGAATTTAATTGACAAAATAAAGAAAAAACCATAACAAAAGTTCTATAACACTGTTATAAGACAATTGAAATTATTCAATAAAGCACGTTTCTCACTGTGGATGAGTCAAAAGTCACATCCTAGTGCAGCCCAATTCAAACAAGCGATAAATGAATCATTGTGTGACAGAACGTACTGTAGTTCTCATCATTTGAATACAGTTTGTTTAATCGCAAACACCGAAGAAGACATTAAATATTTATTTGTTTCAAGTATCCACCAAGCCCAAGGCCAAATTCAAGCCCAAGCCACGGGTCCACCTTCAGATCACAAACCACGTTCCCCCAAAGCAAACCGGTAACCATTATAAAAGCACAAGGGCTTTCAGAAGACTCACATTAGCTCTTGAGGATGGACTGTGGGACGGTGATGTTGTCCCACATGCGGATGCTGAGATGGGTCATCCTGCTGGCAGGGATGCAGTCTATACGAGCAGGTAGAGGCAGATTATAATGAAGAAAAAAAAAGGTTAAAGCTTGTAAAGATATTAACAAACAAATCTGTGTCTTTCTATGTTTGAAGACTTCATGGGAGATTATGGAGACGGTATGAAGGACCCTATGGACTTTACTTGGCTGCCAACAACAACTGGTAAAAATTTTATATTTTATAATTGTGTTTACATGCATGTATAATGAGATGTACTGATTGAATCTGCACAGGAATATTTGCTGTCACGAACTCACCACTTTGTAGGCAAACAGGATAAATAAAGTAATAATGATCACCAAACTCTCTCTAGTTGATTGATGAAGTTTTTTTTTAACTACAAATGATTTGAAATGTCATATTTAAATATGCAAATAAGTATTTTTTCATTGGACCTTAACTTTGGATGAAGTCAGGTTTAAAATTATGGGTTCATGTTTTTTAATACATTAATGTCAAAGGGAAAAGAGTGGAGTTTGGGATTTTATGTTAAAAAAAAAAAAAACTGCGATCAGTAAAAATTATATTTGAAGGATAAATAAAGAATTTGTTGTTTGATGAGCTCAAAAAATGAGCTGAATCAAAACAATTCTTGAGATTTTTAGGGACGTCTTAATGGTTTTATGTTCAATTCACTTTAATTTGTTAATCGATTTGTGTTAGAATAAGATGAATCAATTGTGTGGAGCCCCTTTATTTTATTACTGTATATATGCACTGTAGAAAATGCTGGGTTGCACATAATTCCTTCATGTTGTCCCAACACAAATTGATTAAGTTAACTTAAACGTTTTCGCAAGTTTAACAGAAAAACAAAAAGCAAAACAGGAATTGTGTTGATTAAGCTCATTTTGAATAAGAAGTTTGAACAAGTATCTAAAATAATTTTTTGAGTTTATATATATACACTGTTAAACCCAACAGTCATTTCATTATCAAATTAAATGAGTGTAGATAACTCAAAATGAAATGAAAGTTATTTCTACTCATTTGAAAAGAGTTTTGAACTCAGTGTTGAAGGTGATGAGTTAATTAAATACCTCATTACTTCAACTTAAACGGGGTAAGTTCACAGTACTCACATAGATTTATTTTATAGATGGAACTCAAATGGTTTGTAGCAATCGGTTTCCTCAAACGGTTTGAGTTGCCTTAACTTATTGGGTTTTACAGTACTCAGTTCTCTTTATTTATTGGGTTTTACTGTGCTAAAATTACTTCATTTACTCAAAGGGATTAAGTTCACAGTACTCATTAGGGTTAGTTTTAACCCTAGGGGTGAGTAACCTTAACTTATTGGGTTTTACAGTTTAAGAGCTGCTAAAGAGGAAATTTAAACTCATTCTGAGAAAACAGCCATTAAAAATGTATTGTAATTGAAATGCATAGACACAAACTGATAATGAGCTACAACATGAACACTTAAAATTTTGTTTTAGATGTTTTCTTTACATCATCAGACACAAAACACTTTAATAAAAGTCATAAAGCAAAAAGTACTAAATTGACGAATCAAAAAAAGCTGTTTTTGCCTGCAGTGTCATTATATTAACGTAAAACACAATCAAAATATGTAATTTATCTCCAGAGAGTTGGTCACAGATTGACAGGAATGGTAGAAATTTAATGTTTAACGTAAAACGACATACTTTAATATGAATGATCAGTCTTATAACAATTTTAAATGGTTAAATATGGTCGTTAAATATAAATATAAAAACAAAATGCTGAATAATATGGTGACATTTGTTTCTTTTCTTTTAAAACCTTATCAGCTGTGACAATAACACTGCGTCACATAACAAAAAGAGAAATTATTAGCATTTACCAATATGGCAGCTAATATATTGTGCATCCTTGATTCTTTTGTTTTTAGTGTCCCCCACTATGACGACTGTGATGGTAACAAAAGGTATTTAAAACAAATTATTCAAAACTGCATCCTTACCCGTCTGTGCACTTAGGAAAATGTTTATTTTCTCCACTGACAGTATCACTTGTTGTTAAACTCTCTCTTAATCCAGTTGAACCCAAACCTGATCATCAGTCCCGAATCTGCAGCACATGGGGAAATTTCCACTTCAAGACGTTCGATGGTCATTTCTTTCAGCTGCCAGACACGTGCAACTACGTTCTGGCGGTGATGTGTGACGCCGCCATTTCTGATTTTAACATCCAGATGCAAAGAGACACTGTCAATGGCTCCATCTCATTTGGCTCAGTCATAGTAAAGCTGGACGGGACAGTCATCAAAATCACAGACAGCGGCATCATGATGGACGATCAAGTGTGAGTTAATATTTATATACTTCAACAATTCTGATATACCAGGGGTGCCCAAACTTTTTCTTCTGAAAGGCCAAAACACCAAACTTGATTGAGGGCTGTGGGCCAAAGCTAAACATACCAAACTGTAGTACATATAATAACACAAGGTTTCCATGAGTAATTTCCAGATTTTTCCCTAATATTTAAAAATGACAACAAAACATTGCTTTAAATGATATTAACTAATGCAGTATATTTTTTAAATAATGTATAATGAATTTATTGAACTAAAAATATAAACAATCCCATTGATATAAAGGAGTTCAATGTGGAATACACTAAGCTGCTCCTGCCTTTGCCTTGATCTTGATCTTGATGGTATTTATACAGTATTTAAATTTCAAAAAATCAAGTCATTTATTTAAGTCATTTTAAAACAAAAGAAATCACAAAATAAACAAACAATAGGTTACATTAAATTCGAAATGACGATCTCTGTCAAAGATATTTGCTCGAACCACCTCACCCACCCGCTTCGAAAGTTACCACTCGATTGAATAGGCGTTAACAAAGTGCACTCTTAATAACTTGAGCTATTTATTTAACTCAATGGTTGAGTTAAAAATGTTTAGTGCTTCGTTGGGTTATTTTTAACCTTTATTGGGTTATTAATTTAATAACTCAACCTGTCGGGTTAAAGAAATTGAATTTCAACAGTCAGCTGATTTGACACAGAACAGCTGTATAACATGCACCCGCAATGTTGTTTTTAGGTTTAAATAACCCATATTGGGAAGGTGCTATATTAACCTATAGTTAAGTTATAAGTACGGGTATTTTTAACCTAACTATTTTAACTGAACTATCAGCTGATAGATATGGGCCAGTAGGGGCCTTCTGTGCCTACTGGTAGGCTCAGAAGACTGTTATCATCTATCCACGTGGTTTATCAGCTATACTAATAGAGAAGACTCCAGATCCAGATCTGTTTTTACATTACTGTGACGGTTGGGTTTAGGGTTGGGGTAGGGGTAGACATGAAATACCAGTAGGCACAGAAGGAACCTACTGGTCCATATCTATCAGCTGATAACCACGGATAACACCCATTCAATCGAGTGATAACATTAGAATCGGCTGCCTCACCCATAGAATGATGGGCCAAATCAAAGGTTAGAATGGGCCAACTTCGCCCCGCAGCCCTAGTTTGGACATCTCTGTAATATACACACACTCACTGGCAAGGGCGTAGAATTGGCATGGACGGAGGGGACGGGTTCCCACCAATTACTGAAATGTCCCAACCAATAATTTAATCAACTTCAAAATAAAATAATGCTCTGCCAGCCCTTAGTAACCTACATGTGCACAAAGTCAAGTTTGCTCGTAATACTATTAACCAAGGCTGTGCAATTAATCGAATTTCAGTTTCGATTTTGGCCTCCGTGATTATAAGAAACAATAATCAGGATAAAAGAGTTAAATTGGGTCACGTGCCTCTATAAATTTCTCTACATTCATCCCTCCTCAAAGCCTGACTGCAGAAAAATTTCGTAAATTGACTTTTGTAGCATGGGAAATTGTTATTTGTATTGTTAAGTGTTTATTTTATATTGTTAAATACTTTATTCGTGTTTTTTAAAAGCGCAAAACAGAATTTGTGCTGTTCAATGCAGCTCTAGAGATGTATGTTCCCACTAATGTCAAGAGCAAATCTACGTCCTTGCTTACTGGCCATTTTATTAAAGGAATGGTTCACCCAAAAATAAAAATGTACTCACCTTTTACTCACTCTCATGTGGTTTGACAGCTTTATGAGTTTCAATCTTCTGTTGAACACAAAAGAAGATATCTTGTATAATGCTGGTAACTCCACTTATTGGCTTTCATAGTATTTCTTTCCTATTATTGGAAGATATTGGGTGCCATCAACTAACATTCTTCAAAATATCTTATTTAGTGTTCAATAGAAGAAAGGTTTAACACTACATGAGGGAGAATAAATGATAAGGGACTCTTCGTCTTTGGGTGAACTAACCCTATTCCATTTTAAATAACCCATTCTGATGCACATCTAAATGTATCGCGTTTCTATATGTTTATAAGTTTCTAATACTTCCTCCTGCAGGGTGTCTGTTCCGATCAATCAGAAGGGAATTAAAATAGAAGGAAGCCCAACAAGTATTAAGATCTCCAGATATGGAATGACCATCTTTTGGGAAGAAGACAACTCTATAGCGGTATTTACAATGTGCAATATATTGAGACAATTATGACCTCTAATGGTGGCTCAGTGGTTAGCACTGTCACATGACAGCAAGGTCGCAAATTCAAGTCCTGGCTGGGCCAGTTGGCATTTCTGTGGAGAGTTTGCATGTTCTCCCCATTTTAGTGTGGGTTTACTTCAGGTGCTCCGGTTTCCTCCACAGTCCAAAGATACCTGGTATAAGTGAATTGAATGAACTAAATTGGCCTCTAGAGTATGTGTGTGTGTGAATGTGAGAGTGTATAGGTGTTTCCCAGTACTGGGTTGCTGCTGGAAGAGCATCCGCTGCATAAAACATATGCTGGAATGGCTGGTGATTCATTCCACTGGGGTGACCCCTGATAAATAAGGCACTAAGTTGAAGGAAAATGAATGAATGACTTCTAATTTACACTTCAAAACTGATTTGATGAAATCTGTTGATAGCGGTAAAAAAACAAAACAAAGCAAACCTGATAAAGTTCCAGCGCAGGTTCTCTTTCACAATGAGTGACAATTAATCTATGAACCTATCATGAAATCACACACACACCCTTTAAGCCTCTATATTTGTTTGCACATGATAACTATGGAAAAGCAAACAGGATATCAGTTCTACAAATCATAATGCAAACAGGGATTGTTTGAGAAAGCCGCAGTTAGCCAACAGGTTTGGTCATGTAACTGACAGCTCAGTGTTGAATTTATTAAGTGTGTTTGCTCTGCCAAACAATTTAGCCATTAATAAACATTTCGACAGGCTTGAGTTGTTCTGAGAAATTGATCTGTGTTTGTATATCACTGACATTTCATGATGTTCCCTAGATTGAACTTGCGGAGAAATATAAAGGGCTGACATGTGGACTCTGCGGAAACTACAATGGCGACAAGGATGATGATATGCCTGAGAGTGGTAAATGTCATGTTTTTGTAGTGTCATGTCATGTTTTTAATAAAATTAGAATTTCTCAAACTCAAATCCTGGAGGGCCACAGCTCTGCAGAGTTTAGCTCCAACTACCTCCAACTCCCTACTGCTTAACAATCTCCAGTAGTCTTGAACACCTTGATTAGTTGGATCAGCTGTGTTTAAATAGGGTTGGAGCAAAACTGTGTAGAGCGGCCCTCCAGGAATCCAGTTTAAAATTTATGCTTTAAACAGTGAAAAGTTGACTGTCCCTTAAAAAGTGAGTAAAGTGAGACCCTTTGTAACTAAGAACACATAAGTTAACGTAACTTCGTGAAGTTTTTCAAACTAATTTCGAGAGGAGCATGTGATATGATTGACTGCAGCTGGCCTCCCATCTACATTCATTAGTTAGCCAATCAGATCTATCCTAACTCACTAAAAGTAGCCTAGCTAGATTTACTCCCTTATCTTCGTTTTCCGAAGAAATACCCCATCCACCCCTTTCTCCTCCTTTCCTCCTTTACTAAAGGGGAGCTCTCGAGAACCACCTGATCTCGTACTCCCCTCACATGCTCTATGGACCTGGCGGGATCTCCGAGCTCAGGGTTCTCTCCCGGGACAGCATGCCAAACTTTCAATTCAATTCAATTCAGCTTTATTTGTATAGCGCTTTTACAATGTAGATTGTGTCAAAGCAGCTTCACATAAATGGTCATAGTAACTGGAACAGTGTGGTTCAGGTTTTAGTGTTTAAGTTCAGTTCAGTTCAGTTTAGCTCTGTTCAGTGTGATTTAATCATTACTGAGAGTTCAAACACTGAAGAGCAAATTCATCGATGCGTAGCTCTACCAATCCTGAACCATGCGAGGCAGTGGCGACAGCAGAGAGGGAAAAAAAACTTCACCTGATGGGAGTGAAGAAAAAAAAACCTTGAGAGAACCAGACTCAGTTGGGCACGACCATTTTAATTTCTCCGCTGGCCAAAAGTCTTGTGCAGAGCTTCATTCGCCGTGGTTTATGCTGGAAGATGGCCTCAATGAAGACTCGTCTGTCCCTGGAGCGTCGCTGGAATCAGACTCATGTTCTCATGTTCAAACCTGCTAAAAGTTGTCAAGCAATATCTAAGTGTGAACTCTTGAATTATAATTAACTTCTTATATTAAACTTCTTAACTTTTGTTATAAATGTGCACATCGTTCATTTAAATTAACAGACATCTCAACAGGGGCGGACTGGGACAAAAATCCAGCCCTGGCACTGTAGCCACACTGTAGCCTGCATTACCACACCGACACAGCCCCACCCACTGACACGCACATTCACTATTTATTTTGGTGTATAGATGGTGAAATAATATGACATTCTTGCCAGATTTGAAATATGTCCGGATAACCTGATTGGGTCGGCCCATCTTGAAACCAGGCAGCAGTTGCCGATTGGACCAAATGCTTAACATTTATTATTTATAATATTATTATTATTTTTATTATCATCATCATTATATCACATCTAGCAAGAGATAAAAGCTGTCTGCACTTAAAAACAATACATATTAAAAAATAAATAAAACTGACCGGCCCACATTTAAAAATTGGTCCAGCCCTTCTGGCATTTGCCAGTAGTGCCAGATGGCCAGTCCGCCCCTGCATCTCAAGTTGGGAAAATTCATTTCCAGGGGAGACTAAAGAGAGGGGTAGGGCCGAGTGCTTGCTGAAGAGCGGTGGGGGCAAAAGTGGCGCGCGACGTACCTGAAGAGCTGGGAGGGATGCCGTGGAGAGGGGTGTGTGCCATATTTGAGGACCGAGCAGAAGACGCGCAATTTCCGGGAGATTATCATTCGTTTTCGGGCATCCGGGAGTCTCTATGCATTTGTGGGAATCTCCGTGAACTTCCTGGAGACTTGGGATGTCTGCATAAATAAAAAGGTCACCCAGAAAATGAAAATTCTGCCATTATTTACTCACCCTTCACTTTGAACACAAAAGAAGATATTTTTAAGAAAGCTGGAAACCTGTAACCACTGACATCCATAGTAATTATTTTTCCTATTATGAAAGAAAATAGTTACAGTTTTCTAAGTACATTTTTGGGTACCTTTCAAGGCTTCCTAAATCCCTTTAATAAATTTGAAGCAATGGGTTTACTTACTTATTTAAGTACAGTCAACTAATTCAAAACAATGGCTTTATTCACTTATGTAAGTAAATTCGACTAAACTGTGATGTTTTACCAACTAAATCCTCAGGTCCAGCCACATGGAAGATCTCAACACCAACTGAATCCTGTGAAGACGTTATACTTCCACCCAAGGATCAGTGTGACCAGGTATTAGCCAAAATCGTGAGCATTTTAAAATGGAAATTTTGATGCTCGCAATTGAACGTTTGACCAATTTTCCATTTTTTTTTTCAGAACACAATGGTTTGCCAGCAGTACCTCAGCAGTCCAGGGTTTAGTGGCTGTTATGATGTGATGGACATGAAAATATTTGAAAAAGCCTGTGTGAGCGACATGTGCCAATGTTACGGCAGCCATGACTGTCTGTGCAACACGCTAACAGAGATCTCACGACAATGCACACATGCTGGAGGACAACCAGGAACATGGAGGACAGAACAGCTCTGCCGTGAGTATCACTTCTAAAAAATAATGAAAAAGAAGGCATAAAATTTCATGTTTACATCGATTATAATCCTTACCCATTAAAACTATACTAGCATGACTTATTATCTGGTCATTTTAACACATTTAATACAAGACTAATTGTCTTATTTTGTGGAGCAGCAAAGATGTGTCCTATAAACCTGCAATACATGGAGTGTGGAGGTCCGTGTAAGAGCACTTGCTCTGATCCAACTGCACATCTAATGTGTAAAGATCACTGTGTGGATGGCTGCTTCTGCCCTGAAGGTAATTTTATGCAATATCAAGTGACTTTTTGTGCTTGTGAATAAAATATTATTAACTAAATTGCACCATCTGTTCTTTTTGTAAAGGGACCGTTGAAGACGACATTGGTCAGGGTGGTTGTGTTCCTGTAAACGAGTGTCCATGTGTGCATGATGGCACAGTATATAAATCAGGAGAGTCTTACCAACAAGCTTGCAAAAAATGGTAACATTTTAGATTGATAGACACATTAAAAAATCATGCATACATGTACAAATGTTGACACTGCTATGTTTTATATCAGTTTTTGTGCCGCTGGGCACTGGACCTGCACATACCTGGACTGTCCCGGCACATGCTCTGTTGTTGGAGGTTCTCACGTCACCACTTTTGATGGAAAGAGCTTCACCTTCAGCGGGAACTGCGACTACATCCTCACTAAGGTCTGTCGGGGCAAGATAGTTTTTATTTAAATGGTTTATATAGAGTAGCCATCAAAGAAATTATACTGTAAATAATTTGGAGGTACTGATAGGTGTTTGTTATTCCAGCACTCTAACGACAGTGACTTTGCTGTTGTGGGAAATCTGGCAAAATGTGAGCCAGCACGAACAGACACATGTCTTAATTCAGTTACCCTTGTCATCTCTGGAACCACTGTAAGCTCTAGGTTTATTTAAATTTTATATCTTAACGATTGCTGTATGTTTCATTAAAATTTTTACAATACCAAGACATGATCAAGTATGACAATAAAAAAAAAACATCTGTTTGTTTACTTGGAAAAAACAGATTGGTTTTACTTCTGATGGTGTTGTGACACTGAATGGAAACAGCCCATTTAATCTTCCTGCTGTCATAGGTGAGTTGTAAAAAAAAAAAAATGGGGGAATAGTACTGAATGTATGTATGTTAAACATCACTAAATGCATTTCTCTGAAAATCTGAGGCTTTTCCTTGCTTCTTCAAATTTAGATTTTGTATCCTAACCACTCTTTTCATTGTCCCAGGTCCTGTGAGCATCTTCCAGCCCTCTTTGTCTTTCATTATTGCTGATTTAAACAGTCTTCGTCTGGAAATCCAGCTGGCTCCAGTTATGCAGTTGTACATTGTAGCAAGCACTGAAGAGAAAGGAAAAATGACTGGTGAGTTTGAAAGAAAAGGTTGAACAAGTAAAACATGTCAGTTAATTTACAGTATTCATATAAACTGTGTAATAAAAATGTATATGACTACTTTATTAAAGAAACAATACAATATATCAGTGGAGATAAAAGCATGAACCTAACTACTTACCTTTCTTTCTGCTTCTTTAAGGACTGTGTGGAAACTACAATGATGTCCAATCAGATGACTTTAAAACAGATTTGGGTATCACAGAGGGCACAGCGATATCTTTTGCCAACTTTTGGAAGAAAACCCCATATAGTTGTCCTGATCTTGAAAACACATTTGACAACCCCTGTAGCCTGAGTGTGGACACAGGTATATGAAGTATTACAATAAACGGTTTTAAATAGTAATAACTAATTAATGGTATTCGCAAATGCATATGTTGCAAACTTTACAGAACTATGTCGAATCTTTATTATTTTATTCAGAGAAACTTGCTAAAGACTGGTGTTCCCGTCTGACTAACCAAAGTGGAGCCTTTTCTGCATGTCATTCAGAAATATGCCCAAAGATTTACTATGAAGTGAGTTCTTTTGTATATTTCCTTTTGAAATGAACTATATACAGTATTTATAGCAGACGCATTATCATTTTGTCACATCTGGGATTCATTGTCTGCAGAGGTGCGTCTATGACACCTGCAAGTGTGCAGATATCAGGAAGTGCATCTGTGCGGCTGTGTCCACTTATGCCCATGCTTGTGCTGCAAGAGGAATCATTCTCCAAGGCTGGATGGATTCAGACCCTTGTGGTATTATCTATATTATCTATTTGAATAACGTTCTGTTGATTTGGGGAAAAATAAACAATTCGTAATAAGTGTTCATTCTATGCATAGAATCTGAGTGTTCAGAGAACATGAAGCACTCCTACGGTATGACTGGCTGTGGCCTCACCTGCCGTTCTCTCAGTGGACAAGAAAACACCTGCCAAGGGTCCTTCACGCCTGTAGATGGCTGTGTTTGTTCTGAGGGAACCTACCTTAATGAAGAAGGCATCTGTGTGCCTGCTGACCAGTGTCCTTGTTACAGCGGTGACCAGGTCACAAAACCTTCGGAAGTATCCCACGTAGATGGTCTAACATGGTAAGTTCCTCAATTAACATCCAATGCATTGACGATAGTTTCCCAGAGATGGGTTGTGGCTGTAAGGGCATCCGCTGCGTAAAAAACTTGCTGGATAAGTTGGCGGTTCATTCCGCTGTGGCGACCCCGGATTAATAAAGGGACTAAGCTGACAAGAGAATGAATGAATGAATGCATTGACGATAGAATACCAATGCAACCATTAGTAACTCCTGATTTGCACAATTTTACAGCACCTGTAAACTTGGCAAACTGCACTGCTCCAATCCTGAAAGTAAGTTTCAACGTTTTTTATTCTGCAATTCCACCAGTCAAATTCCGACTTTAATCATCACTTGTGCAATATTTTCTCATCTATGTGCTTGTTGTGTGTATAGCCTGTGTTGCTCCAATGGTGCTCTTCAAATGCTCAAATTATGAACCAGGAAAAAAGGGCACAGAGTGTCAGAGAACATGCCAGAAACAAGACATTAACAATTGTGTAAGTTTTAGAAATTTACACATTATTTTGGCCACAAAAAATTGTGCAGGTCTCAGCTAAGAAGAAATGAGGATTACCAATGCTAAACCTTTCTGGGTTTTTGTTTTGGCTGTAGGTGAGCACAGGGTGTGTATCAGGGTGTATGTGTCCAGATAACCTTCTGGCTGATGGACAAGGTGGATGTGTGGAGAGGGAAAAATGTCCCTGTGTCCACAATGGAGTTACCTATTCATCTGGAGAACAAGTTCAAGAGGACTGTAACACCTGGTGAGCCAGCGTTATTAGCAATAGGAAATAAATGACAAATATATCATCACATGTGCACTTAAGTAATATTATGAGATTCCCTATATAGGTGGTAAATTGGTGCAAACCATTAAAAGGCTGAATCTATGAATTATGTCTATATTACAGCACATGCAGAAATGGGATGTGGGATTGCACGGAAAAAGAGTGTTACGGCACCTGCACCATCTATGGTGAAGGTCATTTCATGACATTTGATGGCAAGAAATATTCTTTCCATGGAGACTGTGAACAAATCTTAGTCCATGTATGTTTTGCATCAATTTTGGCCTTTCCAAGTTAGAAAGAAAATTAGATTACAACCTTATTACAATCTTACAATTTGTTTGGTTTCTCTAGGATTACTGCAATACAGACCAGAGTCCATACTCTTTACGCCTTGTCACAGAGAACATCCCATGTGGCACCTCTGGAACCATTTGCTCCAAGTCCATCAATCTTTTCTTTGGGGTGAGGATACATCTTAGCTAAAAGTCAGCTTGAGTATGCAAGCAGCATATATCATGAGAAAAGACTGTTCAATTATTAATTCTGTTGATGGATACCTTTCTAACTGACTATTTCAATACTGCAGAGATACAAACTGATTTTATCAGAGGAGAAAGAAATTCAAGTTGTTGAAAGCAATGGCACAGATTACCAATACCAAATCCATACTGCTGGGATATACAATGTCATTGAGGTCAAAGGTCTGTTGAACTTAATCTGGGACAGTAAAACAAGTGTGATGCTCCAACTGCATCCCAAGTTTAAGGTAAGCATTACCCCTTTGTACACAAACAAATCAATTCATTTTCCCGTTTATTCACTCACCTTAACATTAACTTGATCTCTATGACAGGGCAAGGTGTGTGGATTGTGTGGAAACTTTGATGGTAATGCTAACAATGACTTTATGAAACATGATGGAGAAGAAGTCACCGATCCAGTGGTATTCGGGAATAGCTGGAAGTCGAATCCAGGCTGTCCGGATGTGAGCAATGTTATGAACCCATGTGAAAAGAATCCACACCGGAGTGCCTGGGCTATCAAACAATGCAGCATCATTACAAGCCCTGTCTTTTCAGACTGCCATTCACGTGTAAGTAAAATTATATACTTAGTGCATTCTGAAAATTTTGTTCTTCTGGACTTTGCCCTTATTGTTTCCATGCCTGAAATAAAAAAAAGTTTTGCTGTCTCTAGGTGGACTCTGGCCCATACTATGATGCCTGTGTAAAGGACACCTGTGCATGCGATAGCGGGGGTGACTGTGATTGTTTCTGTACTGCAGTGGCTGCTTATGCTGCTGAATGCCGTAAAACCGGTGCTTGCGTAGCATGGCGAAGCCCAAGTATTTGTCGTAAGTCCAAACTGTTTAAGTCAGAATTACTATCATAGAGATCCAAATGGAATTGTAATGCTGTGTTCACACCAGACACGGAACGTGCAGATAAATCGTACTATTCGTGTGCATTTAGCCGCGTGAACATTTGAGTTTACTCACTTCATTAGTGCGTCAAACCCCGCTTCATTCGCGTGTCAAATCCACTTCAGAACAGACGCGGATTCGCGTGATGGGCAGGGCTTCTGTCTGCCCGGTTACTTTAGCTTCATAGCTAAATGGCTAACATGGATTTTATGTAAAAAATAACAGTGTTTATGTGCTTTATGAAGACTGAAAAACAGCGTTGATACGTTTAGGGTCGTGTCTGAGTCCACTACATCCTTTCAGAGGTGCATCCAGCTCTGTGAGCTCATAAACTCCTCCAGAAACTTAACCTGGATGACGGAGGCTTTCAGCGGTGCTTCTGACTGAGCCAAGTCGAGTTTGATGAACTGTTGTCGGTGAAGGCTGAAGGATTTCCCTCGGAACACCAACAACAGGTTCTACGTCACAATCACGCCCCCACAAGAGCAAGCTTCTGATTGGTTAACGCGGCGCGAATGTACGATGAAGTTCAGATTATCGAACTCGAGAGATTCGCGTGAAACGCTTGATAAGCGCGTTTAAACACTCAATTCGTGCCGCGCCATTGGCGCAATTTGCGCCATTCGCGCATATCCCGCCGCAGGATGTCTATCCGCGCATTTGCATTGACTTAACATGTAAATCACTCGCGCTTGACGCGCGTTCCGCGTCTGGTGTGAACGCAGCAAAGATTTAAATTTCTTATCATATGTATTTGGATCTTCTTCATTGTCAATATGTGCTTGTTCTTGCAGCTTTATTCTGTGACTATTACAACAACCCTCCAAGTGAATGTGAATGGCACTATAAAACCTGCGGATCGACCTGCATGAAAACTTGCAGAAACCCATCAGGAACTTGCTCCAATCAAATTCCCCTCCTAGAAGGTATGTCATTTTCAAACCTTTAAACAAAGGATTTTGTACAATTAATAGTTTGCAGAGGAACAAATTACTTTAGAGAAAATAATTAGTAAATGAAAATATTTTAATTAATACATATATTTGCTAACGTCAAGACATATAATAAAAGGAAATGTGTATCTTGCTAATTCCATTTGGCCTTTAATTATTCTCCTAGGATGTTTTCCTCAGTGTCCTTCTGAAAGACCATTTTTGAGAGAGGACAACAGGAAATGTGTTACAGAGGCAGAATGTCTTTCTCTCTGTACTTATGATGGCAAGATATACACGACTGGAGATGTGATGTACGATACCACAGATGGGAATGGTACATGCTTTACAGCTGTGTGTGGATCCAATGGAGAGATAATAAGAAGCATTAATAAATGTATGACAACAACTACACCATTCACGTTCACAACTCCACCCCAAACACCAACACCTTCATCACCCGAGACATATACTTCTGTTACTGCTGCAACACCTTCGACAGAGAGGCCACCAACATCCGAATTGCAAAGGCCAAAAACAACTACTACAACTTCTGGTCCAACAACAAAAACATCACAAGGAATTTCTACTGCTGAAACACCATCTACAGTATTACCACTTCCAACATCCACAGCAACTACAACTGCTAGTCTGCCAACTTCAACATTACCTGGAGTTACCACTGCTGGTACAACTGAAACTACATCTACAAAAATGCCAACACAAAAAAAAACAGAATCCCCATCAACAGCTATTACAACTGCAGGACCACCAACATCTCCTGAAGTTACTACTACTGTTACTGGTGAAACACCATCTACAGTAGTGCCACCTTCCACAACAAAAATAGTGCCGTTGACAGATACCACAACTGTCAGTCCACCAATACCAACAGCACCACAAATATCAACTACTGCTGTTACTGCTGAAACACCATCTACAGAAATGCCACTTCACACAACAACAGAAACTCCATCAACCGTTACTACAAATGCTGCACCACCAACACCACCAGCAACTAAAGTTACTACTGCTGTTACTGCTGAAACACCATCCACAGGAACACCACCTTCCACAAAAACAGAAACCCCATCAAGAGCAACTACAACTGCTGCACCACCAACACCAACGGCTCCTGAAGTTACCACTGCTGTTACTGCTGAAAGACCATCTACAGGAACACCACCTCCCACAAAAACAGAAACCCCATCAATCGCTACTTCAACTGCTGCACCACCAACACCAACATCTCCTGAAGTTACTACTGCTGTTACTGCTGAAACACCATCTACAGGAACACCACCTTCAACAAAAACAAAAACCCCATCAACAGCAACTACAACTGCTGCATCACCCACACCAACAGCTCCTGAAGTTACCACTGCTGTTACTGCTGAAACACCATCTACAGAAATGCCACTTCACACAACAGAAACTCCATCAACCGTTACTACAACTGCTGCACCACCAACACCAACAGCTCCTGAAGTTACTACTGCTGTTACTGCTGAAACACCATCCACAGGAACACCACCTTCCACAAAAACAGAAACCCCATCAATCGCTACTACAACTGCTGCACCACCAACACCAACATCTCCTGAAGTTACTACTGCTGTTACTGCTGAAACACCATCTACAGAAATGCCACTTCACACAACAGAAAGTCCATCAACCGTTACTACAACTGCTGCACCACCAACACCAACAGCTCCTGAAGTTACTACTGCTGTTACTGCTGAAACACCATCCACAGGAACACCACCTTCCACAAAAACAGAAACCCCATCAACAGCAACTACAACTGCTGCACCACCAACACCACCAGCACCTGAAGTTACTACTGCTGTTACTGCTGAAACACCATTTACAGGAACACCACCTTCCACAAAAACAGAAACCCCATCAACAGCAACTACAACTGCTGCACCACCAACACCACCAGCACCTGAAGTTACTACTGCTGTTACTGCTGAAACACCATCCACAGGAACACCACCTTCCACAAAAACAGTAACCCCATCAACAGCAACTACAACTGCTGCACCACCCACACCAACAGCTCCTGAAGTTACTACTGCTGTTACTGCTGAAACACCATCTACAGAAATGCCACTCCACACAACAACAGAAACTCCATCAACCGTTACTACAACTGCTGCACCACCCACACCAACAGCTCCTGAAGTTACTACTGCTGTTACTGCTGAAACACCATCTACAGGAACACCACCTTCAACAAAAACAGAAACCCCATCAACAGCTACTACAACTGCTGCAGCACCAACACCAATATCTCCTGAAGTTACCACTGCTGTTACTGCTGAAACACCATCCACAGAAACGCCACTTCACACAACAGAAACTCCATCAACCATTACTACAACTGCTGCAGCACCAACACCAACAGCTCCTAAAGTTACTACTGCTGTTACTGCTGAAACACCATCTACAGAAACGCCACTTCACACAACAACAGAAACTCCATCAACCGCTACTACAACTGCTGCACAACCAACACCAACAGCACCTGAAGTTACTACTGCTGTTACTGCTGAAACACCATCTACAGGAACACCACCTCCCACAAAAACAGAAACCCCATCAACTGCAACTACAACTGCTGCACCACCAACACCAACAGCTCCTGAAGTTACTACTGCTGTTACTGCTGAAACACCATCTACAGAAATGCCACTTCACACAACAGAAACTCCATCAACCGTTACTACAACTGCTGCACCACCAACACCAACTGCTCCTGAAGTTACCACTGCTGTTACTGCTGAAACACCATCTACAGAAATGCCACTTCACACAACAACAGAGACTCCATCAACCGTTACTACAACTTCTGCACCACCAACACCAACTGCTCCTGAAGTTACCACTGCTGTTACTGCTGAAACACCATCTACAGAAATGCCACTTCACACAACAGAAACTCCATCAACCGTTACTACAACTGCTGCACCACCAACACCAACAGCTCCTGAAGTTACTACTGCTGTTACTGCTGAAACACCATCTACAGGAACACCACCTTCCACAAAAACAGAAACCCCATCAATCGCTACTTCAACTGCTGCACCACCAACACCACCAGCACCTGAAGTTACTACTGCTGTTACTGCTGAAACACCATCTACAGGAACACCACCTTCAACAAAAACAGAAACCCCATCAACAGCAACTACAACTGCTGCACCACCAACACCAACAGCTCCTGAAGTTACCACTGCTGTTACTGCTGAAACACCATCTACAGAAATGCCACTTCAGACAACAGAAACTCCATCAACCGTTACTACAACTGCTGCACCACCAACACCAACAGCTCCTGAAGTTACTACTGCTGTTACTGTTGAAACACCATCTACAGAAATGCCACTTCACACAACAACAGAAACTCCATCAACCGTTACTACAACAGCTGCACAACCAACACGAACAGCTCCTGAAGTTACTACTGCTGTTACTGCTGAAACACCATCTACAGGAACACCACCTCCCACAAAAACAGAAACCCCATCAACTGCAACTACAACTGCTGCACCACCAACACCAACATCTCCTGAAGTTACTACTGCTGTTACTGCTGAAACACCATCTACAGGAACACCACCTTCCACAACAACAGAAACCCCATCAATCGCTACTTCAACTGCTGCACCACCAACACCAACAGCTCCTGAAGTTACTACTGCTGTTACTGCTGAAACACCATCCACAGGAACACCACCTTCCACAAAAACAGAAACCCCATCAATTGCTACTACAACTTCTGCACCACCAACACCAACTGCTCCTGAAGTTACCACTGCTGTTACTGCTGAAACACCATCTACAGAAATGCCACTTCACACAACAGAAACTCCATCAACCGTTACTACAACTGCTGCATCACCAACACCAACAGCTCCTGAAGTTACTACTGCTGTTACTGCTGAAACACCATCTACAGGAACACCACCTTCCACAACAACAGAAACCCCATCAATCGCTACTTCAACTGCTGCACAACTAACACCAACATCCCCTGAAGTTACTACTGCTGTTACTGCTGAAACACCATCTACAGGAACACCACCTTCAACAAAAACAGAAACCCCATCAACAGCAACTACATCTGCTGCACCACCAACACCCCCAGCACCTGAAGTTACTACTGCTGTTACTGCTGAAACATCATCCACAGGAACACCACCTTCCACAAAAACAGAAACCCCATCAACAGCAACTACAACTGCTGCACCACCAACACCACCAGCACCTGAAGTTACTACTGCTGTTACTGCTGAAACACCATCTACAGGAACACCACCTTCAACAAAAACAGAAACCCCATCAACAGCAACTACAACTGCTGCACCACCAACACCAACAGCTCCTGAAGTTACCACTGCTGTTACTGCTGAAACACCATCTACAGAAATGCCACTTCACACAACAGAAACTCCATCAACCGTTACTACAACTGCTGCACCACCAACACCAACTGCTCCTGAAGTTACCACTGCTGTTACTGCTGAAACACCATCTACAGAAATGCCACTTCACACAACAACAGAGACTCCATCAACCGTTACTACAACTTCTGCACCACCAACACCAACTGCTCCTGAAGTTACCACTGCTGTTACTGCTGAAACACCATCTACAGAAATGCCACTTCACACAACAGAAACTCCATCAACCGTTACTACAACTGCTGCACCACCAACACCAACAGCTCCTGAAGTTACTACTGCTGTTACTGCTGAAACACCATCTACAGGAACACCACCTTCCACAAAAACAGAAACCCCATCAATCGCTACTTCAACTGCTGCACCACCAACACCACCAGCACCTGAAGTTACTACTGCTGTTACTGCTGAAACACCATCTACAGGAACACCACCTTCAACAAAAACAGAAACCCCATCAACAGCAACTACAACTGCTGCACCACCAACACCAACAGCTCCTGAAGTTACCACTGCTGTTACTGCTGAAACACCATCTACAGAAATGCCACTTCAGACAACAGAAACTCCATCAACCGTTACTACAACTGCTGCACCACCAACACCAACAGCTCCTGAAGTTACTACTGCTGTTACTGTTGAAACACCATCTACAGAAATGCCACTTCACACAACAACAGAAACTCCATCAACCGTTACTACAACAGCTGCACAACCAACACGAACAGCTCCTGAAGTTACTACTGCTGTTACTGCTGAAACACCATCTACAGGAACACCACCTCCCACAAAAACAGAAACCCCATCAACTGCAACTACAACTGCTGCACCACCAACACCAACATCTCCTGAAGTTACTACTGCTGTTACTGCTGAAACACCATCTACAGGAACACCACCTTCCACAACAACAGAAACCCCATCAATCGCTACTTCAACTGCTGCACCACCAACACCAACAGCTCCTGAAGTTACTACTGCTGTTACTGCTGAAACACCATCCACAGGAACACCACCTTCCACAAAAACAGAAACCCCATCAATTGCTACTACAACTTCTGCACCACCAACACCAACTGCTCCTGAAGTTACTACTGCTGTTACTGCTGAAACACCATCTACAGGAACACCACCTTCAACAAAAACAGAAACCCCATCAACAGCAACTACAACTGCTGCACCACCAACACCAACAGCTCCTGAAGTTACCACTGCTGTTACTGCTGAAACACCATCTACAGAAATGCCACTTCACACAACAGAAACTCCATCAACCGTTACTACAACTGCTGCACCACCAACACCAACTGCTCCTGAAGTTACCACTGCTGTTACTGCTGAAACACCATCTACAGAAATGCCACTTCACACAACAACAGAGACTCCATCAACCGTTACTACAACTTCTGCACCACCAACACCAACTGCTCCTGAAGTTACCACTGCTGTTACTGCTGAAACACCATCTACAGAAATGCCACTTCACACAACAGAAACTCCATCAACCGTTACTACAACTGCTGCACCACCAACACCAACAGCTCCTGAAGTTACTACTGCTGTTACTGCTGAAACACCATCTACAGGAACACCACCTTCCACAAAAACAGAAACCCCATCAATCGCTACTTCAACTGCTGCACCACCAACACCACCAGCACCTGAAGTTACTACTGCTGTTACTGCTGAAACACCATCTACAGGAACACCACCTTCAACAAAAACAGAAACCCCATCAACAGCAACTACAACTGCTGCACCACCAACACCAACAGCTCCTGAAGTTACCACTGCTGTTACTGCTGAAACACCATCTACAGAAATGCCACTTCAGACAACAGAAACTCCATCAACCGTTACTACAACTGCTGCACCACCAACACCAACAGCTCCTGAAGTTACTACTGCTGTTACTGTTGAAACACCATCTACAGAAATGCCACTTCACACAACAACAGAAACTCCATCAACCGTTACTACAACAGCTGCACAACCAACACGAACAGCTCCTGAAGTTACTACTGCTGTTACTGCTGAAACACCATCTACAGGAACACCACCTCCCACAAAAACAGAAACCCCATCAACTGCAACTACAACTGCTGCACCACCAACACCAACATCTCCTGAAGTTACTACTGCTGTTACTGCTGAAACACCATCTACAGGAACACCACCTTCCACAACAACAGAAACCCCATCAATCGCTACTTCAACTGCTGCACCACCAACACCAACAGCTCCTGAAGTTACTACTGCTGTTACTGCTGAAACACCATCCACAGGAACACCACCTTCCACAAAAACAGAAACCCCATCAATTGCTACTACAACTTCTGCACCACCAACACCAACTGCTCCTGAAGTTACCACTGCTGTTACTGCTGAAACACCATCTACAGAAATGCCACTTCACACAACAGAAACTCCATCAACCGTTACTACAACTGCTGCATCACCAACACCAACAGCTCCTGAAGTTACTACTGCTGTTACTGCTGAAACACCATCTACAGGAACACCACCTTCCACAACAACAGAAACCCCATCAATCGCTACTTCAACTGCTGCACAACTAACACCAACATCCCCTGAAGTTACTACTGCTGTTACTGCTGAAACACCATCTACAGGAACACCACCTTCAACAAAAACAGAAACCCCATCAACAGCAACTACATCTGCTGCACCACCAACACCCCCAGCACCTGAAGTTACTACTGCTGTTACTGCTGAAACATCATCCACAGGAACACCACCTTCCACAAAAACAGAAACCCCATCAACAGCAACTACAACTGCTGCACCACCAACACCACCAGCACCTGAAGTTACTACTGCTGTTACTGCTGAAACACCATCTACAGGAACACCACCTTCAACAAAAACAGAAACCCCATCAACAGCAACTACAACTGCTGCACCACCAACACCAACAGCTCCTGAAGTTACCACTGCTGTTACTGCTGAAACACCATCTACAGAAATGCCACTTCACACAACAGAAACTCCATCAACCGTTACTACAACTGCTGCACCACCAACACCAACTGCTCCTGAAGTTACCACTGCTGTTACTGCTGAAACACCATCTACAGAAATGCCACTTCACACAACAACAGAGACTCCATCAACCGTTACTACAACTTCTGCACCACCAACACCAACTGCTCCTGAAGTTACCACTGCTGTTACTGCTGAAACACCATCTACAGAAATGCCACTTCACACAACAGAAACTCCATCAACCGTTACTACAACTGCTGCACCACCAACACCAACAGCTCCTGAAGTTACTACTGCTGTTACTGCTGAAACACCATCTACAGGAACACCACCTTCCACAAAAACAGAAACCCCATCAATCGCTACTTCAACTGCTGCACCACCAACACCACCAGCACCTGAAGTTACTACTGCTGTTACTGCTGAAACACCATCTACAGGAACACCACCTTCAACAAAAACAGAAACCCCATCAACAGCAACTACAACTGCTGCACCACCAACACCAACAGCTCCTGAAGTTACCACTGCTGTTACTGCTGAAACACCATCTACAGAAATGCCACTTCAGACAACAGAAACTCCATCAACCGTTACTACAACTGCTGCACCACCAACACCAACAGCTCCTGAAGTTACTACTGCTGTTACTGTTGAAACACCATCTACAGAAATGCCACTTCACACAACAACAGAAACTCCATCAACCGTTACTACAACAGCTGCACAACCAACACGAACAGCTCCTGAAGTTACTACTGCTGTTACTGCTGAAACACCATCTACAGGAACACCACCTCCCACAAAAACAGAAACCCCATCAACTGCAACTACAACTGCTGCACCACCAACACCAACATCTCCTGAAGTTACTACTGCTGTTACTGCTGAAACACCATCTACAGGAACACCACCTTCCACAACAACAGAAACCCCATCAATCGCTACTTCAACTGCTGCACCACCAACACCAACAGCTCCTGAAGTTACTACTGCTGTTACTGCTGAAACACCATCCACAGGAACACCACCTTCCACAAAAACAGAAACCCCATCAATTGCTACTACAACTTCTGCACCACCAACACCAACTGCTCCTGAAGTTACCACTGCTGTTACTGCTGAAACACCATCTACAGAAATGCCACTTCACACAACAGAAACTCCATCAACCGTTACTACAACTGCTGCATCACCAACACCAACAGCTCCTGAAGTTACTACTGCTGTTACTGCTGAAACACCATCTACAGGAACACCACCTTCCACAACAACAGAAACCCCATCAATCGCTACTTCAACTGCTGCACAACTAACACCAACATCCCCTGAAGTTACTACTGCTGTTACTGCTGAAACACCATCTACAGGAACACCACCTTCAACAAAAACAGAAACCCCATCAACAGCAACTACATCTGCTGCACCACCAACACCCCCAGCACCTGAAGTTACTACTGCTGTTACTGCTGAAACATCATCCACAGGAACACCACCTTCCACAAAAACAGAAACCCCATCAATCGCTACTACAACTGCTGCACCACCAACACCACCAGCACCTGAAGTTACTACTGCTGTTACTGCTGAAACACCATCTACAGGAACACCACCTTCAACAAAAACAGAAACCCCATCAACAGCAACTACAACTGCTGCACCACCAACACCAACAGCTCCTGAAGTTACCACTGCTGTTACTGCTGAAACACCATCTACAGAAATGCCACTTCACACAACAGAAACTCCATCAACCGTTACTACAACTGCTGCACCACCAACACCAACTGCTCCTGAAGTTACCACTGCTGTTACTGCTGAAACACCATCTACAGAAATGCCACTTCACACAACAACAGAGACTCCATCAACCGTTACTACAACTTCTGCACCACCAACACCAACTGCTCCTGAAGTTACCACTGCTGTTACTGCTGAAACACCATCTACAGAAATGCCACTTCACACAACAGAAACTCCATCAACCGTTACTACAACTGCTGCACCACCAACACCAACAGCTCCTGAAGTTACTACTGCTGTTACTGCTGAAACACCATCTACAGGAACACCACCTTCCACAAAAACAGAAACCCCATCAATCGCTACTTCAACTGCTGCACCACCAACACCACCAGCACCTGAAGTTACTACTGCTGTTACTGCTGAAACACCATCTACAGGAACACCACCTTCAACAAAAACAGAAACCCCATCAACAGCAACTACAACTGCTGCACCACCAACACCAACAGCTCCTGAAGTTACCACTGCTGTTACTGCTGAAACACCATCTACAGAAATGCCACTTCAGACAACAGAAACTCCATCAACCGTTACTACAACTGCTGCACCACCAACACCAACAGCTCCTGAAGTTACTACTGCTGTTACTGTTGAAACACCATCTACAGAAATGCCACTTCACACAACAACAGAAACTCCATCAACCGTTACTACAACAGCTGCACAACCAACACGAACAGCTCCTGAAGTTACTACTGCTGTTACTGCTGAAACACCATCTACAGGAACACCACCTCCCACAAAAACAGAAACCCCATCAACTGCAACTACAACTGCTGCACCACCAACACCAACATCTCCTGAAGTTACTACTGCTGTTACTGCTGAAACACCATCTACAGGAACACCACCTTCCACAACAACAGAAACCCCATCAATCGCTACTTCAACTGCTGCACCACCAACACCAACAGCTCCTGAAGTTACTACTGCTGTTACTGCTGAAACACCATCCACAGGAACACCACCTTCCACAAAAACAGAAACCCCATCAATTGCTACTACAACTTCTGCACCACCAACACCAACTGCTCCTGAAGTTACCACTGCTGTTACTGCTGAAACACCATCTACAGAAATGCCACTTCACACAACAGAAACTCCATCAACCGTTACTACAACTGCTGCATCACCAACACCAACAGCTCCTGAAGTTACTACTGCTGTTACTGCTGAAACACCATCTACAGGAACACCACCTTCCACAACAACAGAAACCCCATCAATCGCTACTTCAACTGCTGCACAACTAACACCAACATCCCCTGAAGTTACTACTGCTGTTACTGCTGAAACACCATCTACAGGAACACCACCTTCAACAAAAACAGAAACCCCATCAACAGCAACTACATCTGCTGCACCACCAACACCCCCAGCACCTGAAGTTACTACTGCTGTTACTGCTGAAACATCATCCACAGGAACACCACCTTCCACAAAAACAGAAACCCCATCAACAGCAACTACAACTGCTGCACCACCAACACCACCAGCACCTGAAGTTACTACTGCTGTTACTGCTGAAACACCATCCACAGGAACACCACCTTCCACAAAAACAGAAACTCCATCAATTGTTACTACAACTGCTGCCCCACCAACACCAACAGCTCCTGAAGTTACTACTGCTGTTACTGCTGAAACACCATCTACAGGAACACCACCTTCAACAAAAACAGAAACCCCAATAATTGCTACTACAACTGCTGCACCACCAACACCAACGGCTCCTGAAGTTACCACTGCTGTTACTGCTGAAACACCATCTACAGAAATGTCACTTCACACACCAACAGAAACTCCATCAACCGTTACTACAACTGCTGCACCACCCACACCAACAGCTCCTGAAGTTACTACTGCTGTTACTGCTGAAACACCATCTACAGGAACACCACCTTCAACAAAAACAGAAACCCCATCAACAGCAACTACAACTGCTGCACCACCAACACCAACGGCTCCTGAAGTTACCACTGCTGTTACTGCTGAAACACCATCTACAGGAACACCACCTTCCACAAAAACAGAAACCCCATCAATCGCTACTACAACTGCTGCACCACCAACACCAACGGCTCCTGAAGTTACCACTGCTGTTACTGCTAAAACACCATCTACAGGAACACCTCCTCCCACAAAAACAGAAACCCCATCAACTGCAACTACAACTGCTGCACCACCCACACCAACAGCTACTGAAGTTACTACTGCTGTTACTGCTGAAACACCATCCACAGGAACACCACCTTCCACAACAACAGAAACCCCATCAATCGCTACTTCAACTGCTGCACCACCAACACCAACATCTCCTGAAGTTACTACTGCTGTTACTGCTGAAACACCATCTACAGGAACACCACCTTCAACAAAAACAGAAACCCCATCAACAGCAACTACAACTGCTGCACCACCCACACCAACAGCTACTGAAGTTACTACTGCTGTTACTGCTGAAACACCATCCACAGGAACACCACCTTCAACAAAAACAGAAACCCCATCAACAGCAACTACAACTGCTGCACCACCAACACCACCAGCACCTGAAGTTACTACTGCTGTTACTGCTGAAACACCATCCACAGGAACACCACCTTCCACAAAAACAGAAACCCCATCAATTGCTACTACAACTGCTGCACCACCAACACCAACATCTCCTGAAGTTACCACTGCTGTTACTGCTGAAACACCATCCACAGGAACACCACCTTCCACAACAACAGAAACTCCATCAACCGTTACTACAACTGCTGCACCACCAACCCCAACAGCTCCTGAAGTTACTACTGCTGTTACACCATCTACAGAAATGCCACTTCACACAACAGAAAGTCCATCAACCGTTACTACAACTGCTGCACCACCAACACCAACTGCTCCTAAAGTTACCACTGCTGTTACTGCTGAATCACCATCTACAGAAATGCCACCTCCTACAACAGCAGAAACACCATTAACAGCTACTACAATTGTCAGTGCATCGAGACCAACAGCACCACAAATATCTACTACTGCTGTTACTGCTGAAACACCATCTAGAGGAACACCACCTCCCACAAAAACAGAAACCTCATCAACTGCAACTACAACTGCTGCACCACCAACACCAACAGCTCCTGAAGTTACTACTGCTGTTACTGCTGAAACACCATCTACAGAAATGCCACGTCCTACAACAGCAGAAACACCATTGACAGCTACTACAATTGTCAGCCCACCGATACCAACAGCACCACAATTGTTTACCTCTGCAGTTACTGAAACACTGTCTACTAGAACACCACCTTCCACAAAAACAGAAACTCCATCAACAGCTACTACAACTTCTGCACCAACAACACCAACTACTCCTGAAGTTACCACTGCTAATACCGCTGAAACACCATTGACAGAAACAACAACCTGTTACTGCACATTTGCAAATCAAACATTTCCACCTGGTAAGAATGTTATAATATAAGTCTTTCATATTTCCCATACAGTTTTGGGGAGCTTGTGAAATTCCTGAGCTATAATCTAAACCACATTTTGTTATTCCATAGAGTCCGTCATCTACAATAAAACAGATAAAGCGGGTTGGTGCTACTTTGCTTACTGTAACTCCAATTGTGTTAGTGAAATAACACAGAAGCCATGTCCTCAGACTACTACGATTCCACTTTCAACAGTTCCAAACGACTGTATCGATGTCAACAAAAAGGTTAAAAGAAAAACCTTACTCATGTACAAAATGCATTTGTAATTTGTAAATAGATAACCAGTACTGTTCATCTTCATTGATCACTTTTATTTGAAACTTTAACAGAATGGAGAGTCATGGAATGAAGGGTGTACCACTAAAAACTGCATAAATGGCAAAGTCACCACAAGCCCTGTACAGTGTGACTCTGCAGATTCTGACATACCTACATGTGCCAATGGGCTTAAGCCTGAGAAGGTTTATTATAATAATGGCTGCTGCACTAAGTACGAGTGTTCATGTGAGTTTAAACCATGTTCCATGAAACTTGTTTAAATTAATAAATATTATGTATGATAAAAAATTATTAACAGTGTCCTTAGAAATGCACCCTACTTTACTTTGGTTCTTGTTTTCTGAATCAACAGGTCAATGCAGTGGCTGGGGTGACCCTCATTACAGTACTTTTGATGGAACATATTATGTATTCCAAGGGATCTGCGACTATGTGTTGGTCCAAGAAATCATTCCAAGATACAATATCAGTGTCCATGTTAAAAACAATTATTGTGAGGCTACAAATAAATATGCTTGCCAAGATTCTGTGATTGTGAAGTACAAAGGCTATGAAATCAAGCTAGCAAGTAACACTGAACAGATTCAGGTGAGTCAACCACAAAGATCACATACTTTTGAAAGACTTGCTCTAAAATGCATTTACTTATAATTAAATACATTATCACTGCCCTGCTGAAAAATCCAGCTTAAACCAGCCTAGGCTGGTTGGCTGGTTTTAGCTGGTTGACCAGGCTGGTTTTAGAGGGGTTTTGGCCATTTCCAGGCTGGTTTCCAGCCATTTCCAGCCTGGTCTTAGCTGGTCAGGCTGGAAAAATGACCAGCTAAATCCAGTTAAAACCAGCTTGACCAGCCTGGTTTAAGCTGGACATAGCTGGTTTTGGCTGGGCTCTCAGCCTGGCTAGGCTGGTCAAGCTGATTTTAGCTGGTCATCTCCCAGCCTGACCAGCTAAGACCAGGCTGGAAATGGCTGGAAACCAGTCGACCAGCTAAAACCAGCCTAGGCTGGTTTAAGCTGGATTTTTCAGTAGGGTGCTAAAATGACTTGACATACTGTAACTAGCACATATATGCTAGAATGGAAAAAAGTAACCCAAGTCCCTTAAAATCCCTTTTGCCTACAGGTCTCTGTCAATGATGTTGTGAAGGTCCCAACTTTCTTGAATGAAGACTTCTCCATTACAACCTCTGGCATGGCAGTAATTCTGAACATCAAAGAAATCAAATCTGAGATTGTAGTCAGTCATCAAGGCTTTAAGATCAATCTACCATTCTCATACTTTAAAGGCAATACAGAAGGACAATGTGGTAAGTACAGCATGACGCCTTTCCAGCAATAAATGTAATCATGATGAATTAAATTTCAGGCAAAAACTTTCCCAGATAAAAAAATTGCTGAAAGGATGTTAATATTTTAGGTGTTTGTGACAATGATGCCACAAATGACTGCCGACGTCCTGATGGAACAATTGATCAGTCATGTGAGCAAATGGCAGCATTGTGGGCAGATTCTCCAGGATGTGAATCTCCAACACCACATCCTAGCGAACCTATTCCTACCTGCACAGCACAAGTCTGTGAGGTCATCAAGAGCGAGTAAGGAAAAGCTAACCATTTTTTACCTCTTCACCACAGGTCATTTGGATCACCTAAATTGCAACCCTGCTGAAAAAAACAGCTTAAACCAGCCTAGGCTGGTTGGCTGGTTTTAGCTGGTTGACCAGGCTGGTTTTAGAGGGGTTTTGGCCATTTCCAGGCTGGTTTCCAGCCATTTCCAGCCTGGTCTTAGCTGGTCAGGCTGGGAGATGACCAGCTAAAATCAGCTTGACCAGCCTAGCCAGGCTGAGGGGCCAGCCAAAACCAGCTATGTCCAGCTTAAACCAGGCTGGTCAAGCTGGTTTTAGCTGGATTAAGCTGGTCATTTTTCAGCCTGACCAGCTAAGACCAGGCTGTAAATGGCTGAAAACCAGCCTGGAAATGGCCAACACCCCTCTAAAACCAGGCTGGTCAACCAACTAAAACCAGCCAACCAGCCTAGGCTGGTTTAAGCTGGATTTTTCAGCAGGGAAGCTAAACAAACTTACACAATAGGTTGAGCCAGTGTAACTGTATCCAGTTGAGTTCCCTCAGACAATTTTAAACAACCCCTTTATCCAACATTAGTCAGCCAACTGGTTGTATTAACCAAACTTACTAGTTTAAATGTGCCAGTGTTATTTTATCCAGCCCACACATATCAATCCAATTAGAATTCCAAAATACCAAAAGATAAGGATCGAAGATACCAAAATAATGACTGTTTCCAAACAACTCCTCTCCATTGGTCCGCAAACATATAGTTTCCCCCCAAACTCATGCCAATTTGTATCCAAGCCACTCAGACCACTCAAAAACTACAATTCTATTTGATATCAAATTAATGACTATTTCAAACAAGCCCTGAATCCGCAATTGGTCAGGGAGTTGACTCCTAAACTTAGCTTATTCAGAGCACGCAAACAAACTGTTATTGAATCTAATCCCAAGATAATGTCCATAATAAAACACCCCAGTTATCTACCATTGAACCATCAACATAGTTGCACCCCAACGGTTTAGCCAATGTTATTTTATCCAGTCCATTCAGACTCAAACAAATTACAAATTATCAATCTATGATATACTTCAGTTTACGTTTCCTCCCTAACTTTTGTACTTTTTCCAGTTTGTTCAAGAGCTGCCATGACATCGTTCCCTATCAAAGCTACTATGAGGCATGTAAATATGATGTGTGCTACAAAAGAAATGATACCATGGCCTGCGCTAGTTTAGAGGCCTATGCACAGCTATGTGGTCTAAAGTCTGTCTGTGTGGATTGGAGAGGCTCAGATGACCTCAACGGACAGTGTGGTAAGAAAGCACTATGAACCCACCATAGCAAATCTTTTAATTCTGATTGCATCCCGAATCTCCTAATTGTCAACGATTTATAGGATACAACTGTGGTGATCACAAGGTCTACCAGGCATGTGGGCCTAAAGTGGAAAAAACCTGCAGTACAAGGTAACAACTCTCCATCACATATCAATAGGTGGAGCTGTACTGACTTCACTGCATTGTTAACATTGTGCTTGACCTACAATCAGATACAACGAGATGTTTGCGGACAATGGCGATCAAACGTTCATGGAAGGTTGTTTCTGTCCTGAAAACACATATCTACTTAGTTCAACAACCGATCAATGTACACCTACTTGTGGTAAGTATTACAACTTTATTGACTTTTTCTGTATTTGTTACATTAATATGCCTTGAGATCAAACTGTTTTGTATTTCCTACATGTAGACTGCATTGGCCCGGATGGATTACCAAGACAGGTTTGTCATTGCATTACATTTTCCAGGATAGCAAACTTAAATCTAGTCCTTATACCTAAGATTGATAAATGTATGTAAATACCAAAGCTAAATCATTACACTATAGCAAAACAACACTAACATTAATAAAAGGGCAGATATTACAGTTGTTTTACTCTTGTAACCAAAGTATATCTTGCATTTGAATACTATCAGCTCAGTTTTTGACATCAGTCATAATCCCAACTCACATATAACTATTTTTAATTTAGCCTGGAGACTCGTGGGTTGTCAACTGTACAACATACAAGTGCTCAAGTGAGAGTTTTGGTGTTGTCCAAGAGCCTATGAACTGTCCAAAAATAAAGCCCTGTCATGAAGGATACAAAAGCGTAATTGAAAACTGCTGTCCAACCTGTGGTGAGTATCCAAATACAACTACAATCATATAGCTAAACATTCATTCATTCATTCATTTTCTTGTCGGCTTAGTCCGATTATTAATCCGGGGTCGCCACAGCGGAATGAACCGCCAACTTATCCAGCAAGTTTTTACACAGCGGATGCCCTTCCAGCTGCAACCCATCCCTGGGAAACATACACACACACATTCAAACACTACGGACAATTTAGCCTACCCAATTCGCCACTGCTTCGCCCTATAGCTAAACAGACTAAATTGAATAAATATGGCCACAATCTGACTTTGTTTATGATTCATTACAAACAAAAACAAAATCATTGATATTCATAATAATTCATGAAAAGGCAAAAGCCAAGCAAACATTTTGTGTGTTTAATAGATGTCTAATAGATGTCTAAGCATAGATGTCTTGGTTAAAACGAGGTCAAATTTTTGCTGTTTATGGAAATCTTATAGACGTCTAACATAAGTTCAAAAGTAGACTCAAAAAGACAGAAATGAACGATATAAAGGAGTGTGTAATCTGCCTATTCAGTCTATTTAACAACAAGTCTATTTTTGGACTTTTGTTAGACATCTATTATATGTCTACACACAAAATTGCTTGGTGGGAAACAGCTATCTTTAAGCCAAAAAGATGGGGGAAATGCTAGCCAATATAATCAGTCATTCCTTTATTTATTGTTTATTATTTAAAATAATGTCAATGATTATTAGTACAGATTATCTGAAAATATAACCACATGGAATTAGAGCCTGTAAACTAGGTATGCTCCGATCAATCAGCCGGAGATCATTCTATGACTCGATTTTATGACTCGATTGGTACTCGCTAAACTGGCCAATCACATGAACTGATTGTAAGTGTTTGTTTATGGGCTTACAAGCAGAGGAAGATCCATTTTTACTTCTAATGCATCAATATGCGCTCCAAATTTTTTTTGATCGAGACATGTTGAATTCTTCTTCCATCATTTGCAGTGTTTTCAATTTGCATTGTTAGCCATTATTCATAGCAGGGGGAAAAGTGCTTTATGCTATGGCAAAATTATATAAAGCTTGAACCATTAGAATCGGTACTCGGTATTGGCTCCAAAAATCTTGATCGGAGCATTCCTACTGTAAACACTCCATATAAAATGCAACAAAAAACATTTCACCCTCATTTAAATAATCCGTTCTGCCCATTCAGTCTGTGATACCAGCCTGTGTCCAATGAAGTGTGATGTGGGATATGAGCTTTCAGAAGAAATACCTGAACACCATTGCTGTCCACACTGTGGTGAGTCTCAAAAAATGTACACTAGCATTTTAAAACTTCAAATATCTTTTTTTCTACAAATAATACCAATTATGTCCCTTTACAACTTATGTGATTTAAAGAGCTTTAATGCAACCCACTTAACACACCAAAGTAGCAAAAACTGTTATAATAGTAGTTTAATTCAATTTTCAATGGTTCTAAACCTTTATGAATGTATTTTTTCTCTTGAACACAAAACAAGATGTTCTGAAGATTGGTGGAAAAATAGCATCCACCGACATGCAAAAAACTAATGTCATTGAATTGACAAGTAAAGTCAGTGGCTGTTTTTTCCAACATTCACTCTAACAAATGCTGGGTTCAACACAATTCCCTAATGTTATCCCAAAACAAATCGATTAAGTTAACTTAATCATTCTTACAAATTTAAGTGGATTGAACATAAAACAATTAAGTTGTTCCCAAAAAAAAAATACTAAGAATTGTGTTGTTTTAATTCATTTTAGATAAGTAGTTTAAACAAGCAGCAAATGTCATTTTTTGAGTGTAATTCAACAGAAGAAACTGGTTTGGAACAAGTGGCAGATGATGACAGAACTTTTATTTTTGAGAGAACTATGCCTTAAGCAATTTCTGACACTGTATATTTCTTCTGTCTAGTGCCGAAAGACGTTTGTGTGCACAATAACACTGAGTATCAGGTGAGTTGCTGAGTTTATACTAACTAGTAACACCAACAGTAAAATGTTCTCTAATAATGAGTTTTTGTTTGTTTGTTTGTTTGTTTGTTTGTTTGTTTGTTTGTTTGTTTTTTGTAGCCTGGAGTTAAAATCCCCACAGAGCCTTGTATGGAATGTCACTGTCATATGGATAAGGATAAAGATATGGATGAAGACAGACATAGTAAACTACACACTGTGACTTGTGTTAAAAAAGTCTGTACACCTTGCTCTGAGGTAATCATTTCAACTGATGTTAGTGATTAAAATACATTGGGAAAGATTTATATTCTGAATTCCAACAGTAATTTTTGAGTTCTGAAGCATACACATCATAAGCTCCTACATTCAATGTTTCCAAATGATTGAGTAAAATTTGATTGAATCTTTTTTGTGCTCCAAGGGCTTTGAGCTTGTGGAACAAGAAGGAGAGTGTTGTGGAACGTGCAAGCAGAAGTCCTGTATTTATACAGCGCCAGATAACACCACTCACACTCTTCAGGTACAAACCTTTCTTCATTTGTCTACGCATTTATTCAAACAAACCTTCTTTATTTGTTCTGCAGTACTTATTTCAGCCTATATCTCCCTTTAATTCTTTTAGCCTGGAGAGGTCAAAAGTCATCACAAATGTGAGACTCTTACCTGTCGTGAAATTGATGGTGTGTTTGTGACAGAGAAGATCAAACCTAAATGCCCTGACTTTAATCCTGATGACTGTGAGGCTGTAAGTAGTGGTTGATAAGATATTACCATTAATCAAATTTCCACTTTGTTTGCTGTTATATGTACTCTTCATGAATATGTATTAACTCAAGTTCTCAAAGAATATAGTCAAATTTCACTCAACCCAATTCTTAAGTAATCTTTATACAATTAAGTGAAGTTTATTTATAAACTAATTTCGAGAGGATCACGTTTGCTTGCAGCCGGTCCCGCATTATACAATTTCTGATTCGCCGATCAGACGATTCCTAAGCCACTATAAATACCCTAAGTTCCATATAATAGCCATATTCTAGGGATGTAACGGTATCAGAATTTCACGGTACGATAATACCTCGGTATGAATGGCACGGTACGGTATTTATTGAATAATTTACAGGAAAAAACAAAACTAATGAAAAGACTCGAAAAAAGTGCCAAAAGTGTTTATTTACCTTAGCACTGAACATATCAATGACATACAAATCAGCCATCTATCTGTAAGTTTCAAAACAGGAACTTCAATTTTTCAATTTTAATAACAAAAAACTGTTAAACCATATTAAAAAAATAAAGTTTCAATTTAGTATTGTTTAAAACTCATCACATTCAACATTTCATCACTCACTCACTTAGATAGAGATGGGTTTTTTTAAGGAAAATTATCATATAACTATAATCTGGTAAAAGCTGGGATCACTGGGCATGTCCCCTGCATCAGAAAAAAAAACCCTCTCATTTGGGACTGAGGTTTCTGGGACAGAGAGATATGATTTAGCCAAGGTTGACAACAGTGGGTAACGCTGTGCATTGTCTTTCCACCACTTGAGAGGACAAGTCATGAGTGAGATAGAGGTCTCTTTGCGGTACAAGTCAATGTCTGCATTAATCTAACAAGTGTGCTGTGTTCTGCAGTCCCCATGACTGTTTTTAGTCGTATTCCCTGACTTATATTTCACCACAGTCTGGCAGTGCCTGCATTTTGTTTTTTACTTTGTCTGTCACCTTTTCTCCTTTTTCGTATCTTTTTAGAAAGAAACCGAAATGCTTCCACACATCCGATTTAAAACCCGCTTTAGGTTCGATCATTTCCAGCTCTTTTTCTTCCCCGCTACTAGCAACACACTTCATTTCCGCATTACTGGATCTGTAGTGACAAAAGACAGCAAAGGATGATGGCCACGCCTAGGCTGATGGGAATTGTAGTTCCCGCTACCTCCCGTTCGCTTCATTCGCCTAAGCAAACTTTTCTCAGAAATATAGTTTTATTGAGTCATGCGCCTACGGTAATATTGAAAAAAATTACTATTGCGGTATGACGGTATTTACAATATTGTTACATCCCTACCATCTTCGTTTTGAAGAATCCCCACTTCCACCCCTACTCCTCCTCCTTTCCTAGATGGGTGGCATGTTGGCCCAGTGGTTAGCACTGTTGCCTCACACCAAGAACGTCACTAGTTCTAGACCTTACCAAGCCAGTCGACGTCTCTGTGCAGAGTTTACACGTTCTCCCCGTGCTTACATCGGTTTCTCCCGGGTTCCTCGATTTCCTCCCATCGTCCAAAAACACGCAACTTAAGTTTATTGACTAATCCAAATCTGCACCATAGACATGCTCCTAGTAGGTAGTTATCTCTTAAAAGCAATCACTAGCTGTTCATTAGCTACTACAGCATAGTTCTCAAGATCTACCTGAGCTCAAACTCCCCTCTCGCCTTACAAATGGGAGGGAGCCCTGGACTCGAGGATCTTATGAGCTTAGGACAGCATGCCGAACTAGCTTTAAAATCAATCATCAGCTAAATGTGATTTCTTGAAATAAAATACTCAAAGCTTGAATGTTTTGAAGCACCAATGGAAGATAATTTGCTCATTTCATTTGATGCAGACACCAGAATGGGACATTTAACTTTTAACTCTTACAAGAATGTAAAATACAAATATTACAATACCAATAACTTATTAATAATACACTTCAACAGTGTGTGTGATTGTGGTTTATTTTCCACTAATGCTGAAATCTTTGACTGTTTTTAAAGGGAACTGAGAGATTTGATGACGACGGATGTTGCAAGATCTGTAAGAAACTCTTTAGTTGATGTTAATTATTTGCTTATATATGTATATGTCTGCATATATAATAGCTATTGACCACTACCACTAATGCTTGTCCAATTCTGTATTTCCTTAGGCAAGCCAAAGATCTGCATTGTTCGTAAAAACACCACACATGTGAATGCAAATGACTGCAAGTCCATCAGCCCTATAGAAGTGACGTCCTGCAGTGGTCACTGTGGCACCCAATCAATGTAAGGACACATGCACATCTAACAGCCACTATATGGGAATTTTTTGTCTCACCAAACACAAGTGGACAATGAGAAATTTAAGTGTAAATGGAGTCTGAAATGATCCAGAGGATGTCAAAAATGCATTTGATGTTCGTATTGCTATGATTCATATAGCTTTCATAGTGTAAAAAAAAAGGAGATCAACTCAAATAATTCCAATAGCCTTTATAATCCAGCTACTTATCCAATTCTAAAGCATGCTATAGCTAGACTGGGTTTTATACTTTGATGTCTGAAATTGATTGGTTTGAAAGCATTTAGCATTCTCACATAGTCGTCTTTAAAGTTATTATGCAAGTTGTAGTTATGTAACGATATAAAAATTTCATGGTACGGTAATACCTCGGTATGAATGGCACGGTACGGTATTTATTAAATAATTTACAGGAAAAACAAAACTAATGAAAAGACTCGTAAAAACTGCCAAAAGTGTTTATTTACCTTAGCACTGAACATATCAATGACATACAAATTAGCCATCTATCTGTAAGTTTTGAAACAGGAACTTCAATTTTTCAATTTTAATAACAAAAAACTATTAAACCATATTAAAAAAATAAAGTTTCAATTTAGTATTGTTGAAAACTCATCACATTCAACATTTAATCACTCACTCACTTAGATAGAGATGATTTTTTTAAGCAAAATTATCATATAACTATAATCTGGTAAAAGCTGGGATCACTGGGCATGTCCCCTGCATCAGAAAAAAACCCTTTCATTTGGGACTGAGGTTTCTGGGACAGAGAGATATGATTTAGCCAAGGTTGACAGCAGTTGGTAACGCTGTGCATTGTCTTTCCAACACTTGAGAGGACAAGCCATGAGTGAGATAGAGGTCTCTTTGCGGTACAAGTCAATGTCTGCATCAATCTAACAAGTGTGCTGTGTTCTGCAGTCCTCATAACTGTTTTTAGTCGTATTCCGTGACTTATAGTTCACCACAGTCTGGCAGTGCCTGCATACCGTTTTTTACTTTGTCTGTCACCTTTTCTCCTTTTTCGCATCTTTTTAAAAAGAAACCGAAATGCTTCCACACATCCGATTTAAAACCCGCTTTAGGTTCACACACTCCATTTCCGCATTACTGGATTTGTAGTGACAACAGACCGCAAAGGATAATGGCCACGCCTAGGCTGATGGGAATTGTAGTTCCCGCTACCTCCTGTTCGCTTCATTCGCCTAAGCAAACTTTTCTCAGAAATATAGTTTTATTGAGTCATGCGCCTACGGTAATATTGAAAAAAATTACTATTGCGGTATGACGGTATTTACAATATTGTTACATCCCTAGTAAGTTGTGCTACTTAGAAATGGAGCTAATTAGAGCATGTTCATCTTGCACAGGTATTCAATGGAAAACAGCATCATGATGCACAGCTGTTCTTGCTGCAGAGAGGAGAAATTCGTCACTCGTCAAGTGAAGCTGAAGTGTGCCGATGGCAGAGAGATCGTCCACGACTATGTTTACATTGAGAGCTGCACATGCACTCCTACCAAGTGTGGTGATTAGACAGCATGAAGACTGATTTAAATAAAGCTGACCTTAATCAAAGCTTTTCCTTTGATTACTGCTGATTTGTGATAAATTACTTAAGAAAATAATACTTGAAGTAATAATAAAAGCAATGTGTGTGTGCATGTGTGTGTGATCTATCAAAACTTCTTCATGCCTTTTTTCTAGGGATATGGCTTTCACTTTAAATGTTTACTTCTGTTTTTTTCAAGCTTTTTTCTATGATGTAATGACATTTCTAAATATTTGTAATGGAATTAGGCGAATGATGAACTCAATAAAGAGGTCAACCAGCAACAATTTAATTTCAGTGCATTCAATTTCCCAAATAAAGGGTCAAAATCATCTATACTAAGTTTGGTCACATTCTCAACTGCTTTTATTCATGCATTAATTTTCCCTCGGCTTAGTCTCTTGTTTATCAGGGGTCACCACAGCGGAATGAACCACCAACTATTCCGGCATATGTTTCTCGCAGCAGATGCCCTTTTAGCCGCAACCCAGAACTGGGAAACACCCATACACTCCCACATTCACACACACTCATACACAATGGCCAATTTAGTTAATCCAATTCAACTACAGCACATGTGTTTGGACTGTGGGGGAAACCGGAGCACCCGAAACCCACACCAACATGGTGAGAACATGCAAACTACACACAGAAATGCCAACTGGCCTAGCCAGTGTCCTGACCTTTTATCCTACCGATCAGATTAAGCTGCCAACACTGTATTTGAATAGTACTTGGGTTGAGGTTAGGGAATGGGTGGGTTAGAGCGATATTACAGCTTCATATCACACTAATCCACATTGAAATTTACACTGGTAGCAAAATCTGATGGGTAACATATTGCGTCATCAAAATGTGCAACCAAATTTTTGAATAGGAGATAGGACAATCTAACAAGGACATATTGACAACACCAGCACTCAAACCAGCGACCTTCTTGCTGTGAGGAAACAGTGCCGCCCAACTGCATTTATGTTTCTCTAATTTTTTCAGCTTGGTTTTAATTAAATAATGTTGGCTACATACAGTGTATGCTAGTTTTATTTTCTAATAGAAGAATTTAATGTTGACACTGAGGCATTAGAGACATTTAGGCGTTTCTTAAGAAAGTACATTACAAAACATCAATACATAACCTATGTGTTCAATACATCAAAACTTATAGCTATTTGTATACAATATGTAGCACAAAATCTTAAATATGTTGGGTTTTGAATCGAAATGTTCAATAATATAATACGTAATTGTGCAAGCTTAAATATAGAAATGTGTAAGAATTTCTGAATGAATTTGGAGGCCATATTCCTCTGATTCTAACTGGCCTTAGATAGAAATATGCTAACTCACCTGTCAAGGAACTTTATCACCCACTCCTTTGCTGCTAAATTATTTGCTATAACTCTCAATCACTGTATATTATATAATCTTTTACATCATCTGTTTCATAAGCATACAATTTTACAGTCTGTGAAGCAAACACAATCCTGAAGACCATTTTACCAGAATTTATTTCAGACTAATTGTGATTGGTCTTTCTAGCAAGCGGTGACAAAAGTTACATAAATCACGCAATGATGTAAGCAAGAACAACAAGGTATAGGAGGTAATTTTAAATCATTTTAACCCCAATAAAGATTTAAATTAACACTAAGTAAGCTTGAAGAAACAATAGAACATGAATAAATAATTAAAACAAACGTAAACATAAAAGTGCCGTTAGCCCCGGCCAACCATAGATATATACACTAGATATCGCATATGGGACCCTGAGCATGCGTCAATAGCGCCGCCACATTGGTACAGTGCTCCCAGGACAAATGTCATTCAGCCGCACTATACAAGACAGTGTTGCTACGTGAAGATGTGGGACTTTAGCGCTGTCTACGGGTCTAGTAACGAGCAAACAAAGAAAACAAAGCACAAAGGCAGAACATTTCATAGGTAAGATTAAGTTTTTTACGTTTTTGTACGTTCTGAACTTTTTTGTGCCAAACAGGTAACGTTATTGATGATAATACAGTGCATTCACCATAAGGCAAAGTAGCTCCAACTCGCACTAAATACTCGGCTTAAGCTAGTTTTGTTTAATAAAATCAGCAAACAATGCAAAAGAAATATGACAACGAGATGCTGCGCTGCCAGAAACTTGTATTATTGTCTGCTAGTGAACGAGTGTAATCACTGATCAATGTAGAAAAGTGATGTCAAATTATAATTTTCGTAATTAAAAAAATGCATACTAACATCTAGGAAAACTCTCAATCATAGATATATGTGTATATGTGTATATCTCTGGCTTTGGATGGCCACAGTCCTCCACTGTACCTTGGTCCCGCATTCATTTCAAAGGAGCGCTTCCCTGTTCCAAAATGGCGGCTCTATTGACGCATTCCTTCCAATAGACAACAACAGGGTAGGCGACATCTAATGTATAAATCTATGCCGGCCAACCATGTGCCCGTACGTGGCATGACGTTATAGGAAGTGATTCATGTGCATACTGGCGGGAGTTTCAGTTGTTATTAAACAAGCTAACAGCGCACCTACAGCGAAAGCAAGCGACAGTCTAAAAGAAGATTTTAAAGCCAATTCTTCGTAAAAACACTAACCAGGCAAGTGTTTGATATTACATAGACATGATATACACTTTGTGAATTTAAAACGAAGCTGACAAAGCTTGTTTGTGTACTTGTTTAACTACGTTACTGGCTGCAACGTTATATGAAGTAAATAACTTTTCCAAATATCCCTTTTGCAAGGTTAATGGTTTATTTTTCATATTTTTCATTGATGTTGAAACTATATTTACCACATTGTATACGTAACGTTAGTGTTCCTATATCTAACGTAGTAAGTTTAACTTATTTTCTATTGATATCAACGTTACAATCTTTGGTTGTTACAAAAAAAGTTACATATTGACATAAAGTAGTCTATTTCATAATCACTTGCCACCAAATGATGAGTAAAATGCATATATGTTCTGTTTTTTACTTTTTATTTCCACATTATGAGTAGTTACTTATTAGAATTTGTTCATTTGTAACACCCCTGATGTGTCAAATAGCTATATTTTAAACAGATCATGGAAATGTATAAGCAATTCCAGCGTTATTGATGTGACATTTGCAGTAAAATCTCAAAACGTAAATGGACAGAGGAAGTACAATTAAAGTCAGAATTATTAGCCCCCCTTTGAATTTTTTTTTTATTTTTAAAATATTTCCCAAATGATGTTTAACAGATCAAGGAAATTTTCACAGTATGTCTGATAATATTTTTTCTTCTGGAGAAAGTCTTATTTGTTTTATTTTGGCTAGAATAAAAGCAGTTTTTAATTTTTTAAACACCATTTTAAGGACAAAACTTTTAGCCCCTTTAGGAAATTTTTTTTTCGATAGTCTTCAGAACAAAGGATTGTTATATGATAACTTGCCTAGTTAACCTAATTAACCTAGTTAAGCTTGTAAATGTCACTTTAATCTGTATAGAAGTGTCTTGAAAATATCTGGTAAAATATTATTTACTGTCATCATGGTAAAGATAAAATAAATCAGTTATTAGAGATGAGTTATTAAAACTATTATGTTTACAAATGTGTTGAAAAAAATCTTCTCTCAGTTAAACAGAAATTGGGGAAAAAAAATAAACGGGGGGGTAATAATTCAGGGGGGCTAATAATTCTTACTTTAACTTTTTATGTCAACATTATTTTGAAACATCTGTTTATATTATTTTCTCAGTTATATTATAACTCACCACAGAGTTATGCACTTAAAAAATATCAATCTGTAAACATATTTTAGATTTTAAATGAGGAAAGTAAACATGCGTAGGCATGGGATGATAACCTTTTTGAAGGTATACCGCGGTTTGGAAAAGTCAAGGTTTTAAAACTGCCAACATTTTCTGTAATAACGTTCCTAGGGTATGTGTAAGATTTTTTATTTACATTTTTTTTCTTGTTTTTAGGACAACAGTATTTTTAGCAAAAAAAAAATATTAAAGATGCCGTTTTAAATTGTGAATAAATCTGAGTTTTGGAAACAAATAAAGAGAGCAGGAGTCAATGATTCTTTTGAATTATTTAGCCTGACATGTTTACTGTTCCTTTTTACTATCCTAATACCCCTGTTTACATGTTGACTGTCTTTCAAAAAATAAAATAATTGTTTTCAAAGGGTAAAACAGTTAAAGTTTTTTACCCAGACATTTTTATTCAAGGTTATCATACCATCAGAATCTGATACCACCCCATGCCTACATGCATTATGGATGTGACAAAAAAGTTTGCGAGATTACAGTATACAACATACATTGTAGAAATTCCATGAATTAAACTGCACAACCCAAAACAAACAATGCTAATCATAAGAAAAAGTGTCTGCTCACTATAAAACAAAAATCATTTATGAGGAAAAAGTTTCGTTATGGATGTGACACTTTTCTATTATGGATGTAAAATTGCCACTTGTGTGACTTTGGTAAATCAAATATAATAGTTTATATAAATATAAAACATTGACGGAGACATTTTTGAGCATTTCTAAAGTACTGTTAAATACTTGCTTACACAGAAATGTAGAAATTGTTTCTCTATTTTGATGAAAACGACATTTATTTCAGGGCAAGGTTGACATTTGCATGGAATTGCTCATATATTAAATAATTTCAATCAAGAAATAATCTCTGGGATTATTTAACATTTTATTATAGTGCTATTCATGTATGGCGAATTGCCTGTATATTTTATTTTTGGACTAGAGAAGTATTTTTTTTCTAGATTATAGTAATTGTGGAATCATAGTGTGCTCCTATTTACTTATCATGCATTTAATCATAGGTCTGTGTACATACAGTACAGTAGATGTCCAAGATGAAGGTTACAGTGGATTCGATATTATCATTATCTGAGACTGATGATGGAGATGAGCTGCAGAAGCATCTCACTTTGTTGTCTGATGATCAGGTTTGTGGTTACTGTGTGTACTGTATGATGAAAGTGAATGTAAGATCTCAATCAATCGTATCACATTCCGCATGTAGGTAAAACATTTAAATCATTGAATGTGCATTGCGGTCATGATTTACAAATGTTTTCTTTTTAATGTCCATCTTCAGCTCACAACCATGCTTACTAATAGTGCTCTTAAAGGGAAGGATACAGGAATCCTGATCAAAGCCATATTTAAAGGTAAGACAGTGTTAATTATAATATTGATAATAATTAATTTATTGTATATAGCACCTTTTTGGTGCTCAATGGTTCTAATTCTACATGATTTAAAAAAA